CCGGCTTATGCTTCACCTCGAAGTTAGACTCTGCACAAAAGGAGAGCCAACGAGCCATTCTCTGCGATAGATGAGGCGGCTGTGTCGCTGTGGGTAACGACGCATGATCGGTATAGATCACAAACGGCTTTGAGCCCAACAGGTGTACCCTGAACTTAACAAGGGCATACTTCATCGCAAGTAGCTCCTTGTCGTGAACTGGATAGTTCTTCTCTGCAGCTTTCATCTGGCGAGACTCAAACGCGATGACGCGTTCTCGACCCTCAGAGTCAGCTTGCAAGAGAGCACTGCCAATGGCAAAGCCCGAAGCGTCACACACGACGCTAAAAGGACGATCGGGATCAAGCAGAGCCAGAATTGGCGCCTGAAGTATACTCACCTTAATGGCTTCAAAAGTCTCGTGGTGCTCGGTGTTCCAAGACCATTACACATCCTTTTAAGAAGATTCGACAAAAAATAGTCTGGCCACTTTCGCTTAGTTGTGGCAATACTTGTGCAAGTAATTTATCACGCCCAACCAGGGGGCCTGTTCACAAAACAAGCGAAAAAACCAAGGGGGGTTGGGCGGGGGGGGGTTTCCCCGTCCTCCCTTACCAAAAAAAAAAAAAAAAAAAAAGGGAATTTTCCCGACGAAAGATGAATTAAAAAAAAAAAAAAAAAAATTAATACACCAAAAAAAAAAAAAAAAGAGGGGGGGGGGGAAATTAATTTTTCCCCACAAGTTTTTTTTTTTTTTGGGTGAAAAAAAAAAAAAAAAAAGTAAAAAAAAATTTTTGGAAAAACCCTAAAAGGAGAAAAAAAAAGGGGAAAAAAAAAAAAAAAAAGGGGGGGGGGGAAAAAAAAAAACTGGGGGAAAAAAAAAACACCCCAAAAAAAAACCCCTCGGAGTGCTGACCGCTGTCAGCGGTAAATACTAGCTCAAATGAGCAGTTGGTAATATCCATCGACTAAGTCGAGGGCATTGTACATCGTACATCCCACTATATTGTTCTGAAGAACATCCTTGCGAGGAATTGGTGTTTGAGTCGGGGTAGTGGCTGCATTCAGCTTATTGTAAGCATGCACGATTCGCCACTTACCATTAGGCTTTCTCACACAAAACGTGGGCGTAGAGTGAGGAAACTTACTATCACGCACCATGCCTCTCGCCTGCCTTGCACGAAAGAACTCGTCAATGACGTCACATTGTTCTCGTGGCAGCGGCCACTGTTGCGTCACACAGTATTTGGTTTCTGAAACCAAGCCAATCGCATGACGTACACCTCTATCCGGAGGTAAGCTCGTAGGAGCTTCTCTGGATACAACATCTCCATATTCCTTCAACAAAGGAAAATAAGGATCCGAAGGAACCTTCAGGATCTGTGATCCACTACGCGCATTCGGCGCCCTCTTGGTATCTTCAAGAACTGCTTTATTCAAAAGCGATGAGGAGTTTTACTACTCCTCAGGTCGTATAACGACCACTTCGGCGATGTCGTCTGCCTGTAAGGCACTGCCAAACTCGGCAAAGGACAACTCGCCCAGCTCTTACAGAGCAATTACTGCGAGTATTGCTGAAAGAGCCACCAGCTCTTCAACATACCCAGTCAAACCATTGACGAGTGTATATAGCTGTTCGCTATCACCGTCACTCACGATATCATCATCGCTACTCATGATGCTCTCAGCATCAGACGCATCAGCGTCCACAGGTGTACACACCTCAAAATCAAAGACCACTTCGTTTACTGACTGCACCCCACCCTCTTGGGTCAATGCCTCGTCATGAGGTGTTCGCACCTCGTTGTCCTCAAAGACAACCGTCATTTTTGACTTCACCCGACCCTCCAGGGCCAGTACCTCGTCATTAGGTGCATGCACTTCATTCTCCTCAAAGATAACATCCATTGATGACTTCACTCGACCCTCTTGGGCCAGTATCTCGTTGTTAGGTGCATGCACCTCGTTGTCCTCAACGATAACATCCATTTGTGACTTCACCCGGCCCTCCAGGGTCAGCTTCTCGTCACCCATGTCACTTGGACTCATGTCCTGACATCTTGGCTTGCAGCCACCAACACCACTCACGGTGTTTAATGATGTAACATCATTCTCATGACACATGTCATGTGTGCCATCTAGTGGGTTCTCAACCACACTATCGAAGTTCATTGGGCCTCGCCCAGGACAATTGTCATCGACACTTACAGTGTCTACAAAGTCGGATATTCCGACATCCAACATATTGACCGACTCGGTCCAATATCCGCGCCAAAAGCGCTTCTTCTACCTCGCAGAGGTGGGTTTATGACTCTCCAGAGCCCCACCAGGAGCATTGCGCGTTGCGCCTAAGGATTTCGACTTCCAATCAATCCATGGCTCATGATGTTCTAGTCATGCCATGCCTAGGATGAGGTCATACCTCCCATCCAGGTCAAAGATCCAACAGCGTTCCATGCTGTTAAAGTCCAAGAACTATACAACTAACTCAATCGGGACTTGGAATACCCTAACACGCGTAACTGTCGCTAAGCGAACTGTGACTGTGTCACTCTCACGCGCTACAAGCGCTCCAGCATACTGCTGACTACCTTCCACGGTGGCACGGAGCACATAATTTCCCGATGCCCCCGAATCGATCAAAATGATCCATGGCTTATTATAGCCCTCAATCATCCCTTCGACGACTAGCAAGCCAGGCTTGCATTCTCGTTCCGTTTTTGAGAGTTCGGATCTCTTTAAGGCTGGGCCTTATTACTTCTACCTCCTAGATGTTCAACAGAACTCAGTTCTTCCCCAGTAGGAAGCCCCGCGCCTACTGGGTTCCGCCGTTTCCCCGCGGCAAACCAGAAGGTTTATCCATGGGGCGTCGGCCCTTCGAGGCCAAATATGCCTTTCTTGCAGTGATATAACATCTGCGCACAATTTGCTGCTCCGCAGCTTGAAGCTCCGCTTCTTCATCCTCCACTTGACTATAGTTCATGGGTACAGACCCATCAGACGAGTAGCTATAAGTGGCAGGCCTTGCAGCCTTAAAGTTCGTCTCGGCATTCCATGCCACTCCAACAGCTTCCTCAAATTATGTCGTGTTTACCCGGAAGACTTCCGTTCTGGCAACGCCAACTCGGAGGCCCTCCATAAAGACCGTGACGGTCACTGCCTCGAGCATAAGGTCGATTTATGGCCATGGCAGCAATGAGAGTGCTCAACTCTTGTACATATGCCGCAAGCTCACGCTTGCCTTGGCGACACGCCAAAAACCGCTACCGGTTTCGTTGTGCTTGGTTTGGCGGTGCACACTGCCGGGTCATCTGAGCTTCCAGATCGGCCCATGTGGGAAAAGCATCTTGCAATGATGCACTACATGTGAATGCCCACTGTTTGGCTAAGCCACCTAAGTTGCCGTGGCAAAGACCACACGGTACGGTTCATACGTATTGTCGGCTATAAACATAGCCGACACGGCCTGTCAAAACCAAAACATAAGGATATCACCTTCTTTTCCGTCGAATTTATCGACTTCCATTTGTACGGTTTTTGGTCTGCGGAACACTTTCTGCGCCATAGTCGCCATGGGCGAAGGCGCAGAAGAAGACATCTGTGCCTTTACATGCCCGACTAGAGCTTTATTATGCTCATCAAGCATATGAATACGCTTGTTAACCTCTTCTTCGCCCTGGGCGGTGAGGTACTCCACGCTCTTAGGGCCAAGGATGGGGGGCAGCTTCTGCAACCCTTCCTGTTGTGCCTGCGACAGGCCACCCGCGGAAATCTCATCAATGTCCATTCTCAGACAGAGAAGTAATCGCAAACCCAGGCGTGGGGTTGACTACAAGTGCTACCAGGTGCAGTCGAGTTCCTGTAGCCACGCTATTGACTTGTGCAGAGGATGTAGCCGAGCTACTGTTGCAAAGCTACTCATGCGCTATTTGCAGAGGAAGACAAGCTCAGAGAGCTTTTACGTCTTAGGGTGCTTAACCCTCCTAGGCTCGGTTGTTACAACCGCGTCTCAAAGAGACTAGTATCAAAGATACAAATTTTTCAGGAGGAAATCGAACGCTCAAGCAGTGATGCTGACGAGCAGTGAAACGATTTATACTTATGTTTATCTTCTAACACTAATATCGAAGCACCTACTCTATACTTAGACAATACACACCTTCGTGTAACCCTGTTACATGAACACATCTTTATCCTCGAAAGTTAATTGCCTCATTCTTTGTTGTATGCCCACGACTGGCCATGCCATCCTACAGGTCTTCAATATTGTTCGGCTCCACCTTGTTGGAAATCTTGCTACACCTTTCAGGTAAATTTCTGCCACCTAAATTCTTGCTCAAGTCTTGACCGGACGTATAACGTCTGAGTTTCCTACAAACAAAGTCTTTCTTTGCACGCACACCTACACCCTTTGCTCGTAAATGTATCACACAATGTTTGGTTACGCTAAAGCCTCGTTTAGGCTTGGGTTCATAAACCTGTTGCAATTTTGATTTAGCCTCAAGCTTTCAGCTAGCATTGTGCTCTTCCTGAACAAATGGATGATACCAGAAATGTCTACCTTGACACACAATGATATAGATTACTGAGCTTAGCTTTTTCTAACTCTACATACACTTAGCACTTACTCGACTGAGCTTTCCTGCATGCGGTAGCAGCTAACTCTGCGTCTGTCGACTCGTCCCGTTCGGATATCCGCCGTTTCCCTTGTTCGGTGCCACCACTAACAGTCAACGTGCTCGAGATGTTCCAACGGCTTCAAGTTAGGAACATATTACAACAAAGGTGTTCTCGGAGGGTTGTGCAAGAAACAGCGTTTTCAATGGTTACTTTGGTCTTTCAGAATCATTCCGTGCCAAATAAAACTGACAAGCAATATTAATCGATATACGCTTGACGATATGTTACTGATGTCATGTATACATTTGAATCTCAATTCGCCATTGTAATTTTGCATTATATTCTTCTTACCTTCGCGTTACCTTTATCTAAAGTTACTTCACATTTAAGCTTATATCGCCATGTTCTTCCTCAAGCAGCTCTCGCGTGATCTGCTACTCCACCCGATGCACTTTGGACCTAAATTACACGATATTATTCGTCTACGTCTTATTGAGGAAGTAGAGGGTACATCTATGGGTAAATATGGCTACGTCATCACAGTTACAGAAGTGCGCGACGAGGATATTGGCAAGGGCGTGATTCAGGATAATTCGGGCTTTGTGTGTTTCAACATTCGTTATCGAGCTATTCTCTTCCGTCCTTTCAAGAATCAAGTACTGGATGCTGTTGTAACAGTAGTGAATCAGCTTGGTTTCTTTGCGGATGTGGGCCCGCTCCAAGTCTTTGTGTCCAGACACGCTATGCCTACGGACCTTAACAACGGCTACGATCATGAGAGTAATGCTTGGATTTCAGACGATCGAGAGGTGGAAATACGCAAGGGATGTGGTGTACGGCTTAAGATTATGGGTGTTAGTGTTGATGTCACGGAGATCGTACGTGCATTTGAAAAGAAATGGAGGTTTGAAAAGACGATGGACTGGCTGCTGCTGACTGATTTGTTGTATTTGATCTTGTCATGATGATGATGTGTAGAACGCTATTGGGACCATTAAGGATGATTATCTAGGCCTCATCTCATCTGATAACTGATTTCCTTGCTTAGAAACGCAGCTACTTGCAAGCAAAAAATGTTCTCTGTCATTTCGCTCGGCAACCTTTTTTTAATGACGCAGCATATTCTATGTCTACGGCATCACAGACTGACAGGAGTCGTTATGCATTAAGCCAGTCTATAGTTCCAGGAAGCGTGTGGACTTTCGGTGTTCCATTTCCAAAAACTGTTTGATTTCCTCCAGCTCCACGAGTTGAACGTCAAAGTTGTGCGCGAGTTCCGCGTGAAGCTCACTTTCAAACTTATTGCGGTCCGCGCATTCCTTCTTTAGCACATCCTTAAGCGGACACAAAAACTCGTGATGGCTTCGCTGCTGGCGGTACTTTGGCTGTCGTGCGGGGTTGGTTAGGTACTCCATGTTCGTCGGGTCAAAGTCCCACAAGAACGATGTATGATGCAGCCAGCGACCTCTCGACAAACTCTGGGCATTGCCACCAAACTTGCGGTCGTTAAACACGTAGTCATCCTCTCGCAGTGAGAACTGCTGCCAACCAGTAACAATCCGCAGCTTAGACAAGTCTACAGACCATAAACTCACGACTGCAGCGACACACACACAGATCTTACCAGGTCTGTATGACAGATGCGCGAGAAGAAGGGTGAGAAAAAGTCATGTGACCAGGTCATAATGTCACGTGGAAAGGGCTTGACCAGTGGAAAATCCTGCTGTCTGCATATGAATGTGGTAAAGATCGTATTGTGATCAACAATGACAGTACCACCACCACTGAAGCGCTTGAGTACTGGAATATTGTCTCTAGATATACAACAATACCAATAGTATACACAAAGCTATTGTTACTTCACACCACTCTTTATATAACTCCATAGTAATGAATACATGCAAAAGTAACTGAAATGCACACCGTTTTACAGCCTCTTGATGTAGCAATTGCTCTGGTTTGCCTGAGATTCCCATGACAATTGTTGCTGGTGCATGTTGATCATTGTAGATGAACCAATTCCGTTGTAATTCAGTACGAAACAATGCCTCCTCAATCTGCAATTGCTTTTGAATTGTCGTACGCAATCGTAGGAAGCTCATGAGCGGCTTGTGCCCACGTCGAGACGCCATCAAGAGCCTTGTCTGGTGGTTTTAGGGTGTATCAGATCTGATACCCATGCCATGGGTCTTTTTTAAAAACTGAATTGACGAAAGAGTTACCGGTATTAGTCGGTATACTAGAACCACCTCAGTTTCTAACAGTAACAATAACAATGATGACCGAGCCGTTGCTACTAGCGGCTCGTGAGCTCGCGCATGGCTCTGTATCGTCTCTTCCTCTTGATGTTGAGGTTGTAGCTTCTGCTATATCTTTTAAACATTTGGCCGTGTTATTTCAGTCCCAAAGTGCGCGAAATAGCGTCCATTTGGGTGTGTTTAAGATCGACGATAAGGTCGACGTGGAGGAGCCAGAGTTGTTTGATTTACTCTCAAATATGGATACTTCAGTGGCTATTAAAGCTAATAAATGCAAGTGGTCACTTGTATGGAGCCCTGACCTAACATTTCTTGTCGTTAGTGGCCAAATTTCATGCTCTGAGAGCGAATATGAAGGGGTCCTTTGGATATTTACACGCTCCGAGTGGTTGACTTCTACTGCAGTTTCTATAGAGTCGACGGATTCTCCTTTGGTACTTTATATACGTCCGTCTACGTACTTGAGTGCAAAGCATTGGAATCCTACAACGAGTATCATGAACGTTTTTTTTCCAACACAAAGCGGGAGCAAAGTGTTTGTGCTGTCAGAGGACGGCGTTTGGCTTAGTGTAAGTGTGCAATTGACCAAGTTAGCTCTTGCTGCAATGAATCAGTCGACGTCAAATGATACAGCAGGTATCATTACGATGCAAGGGGTAAAGAAGCTCACGGAGTGGCATGCGGGTGTCACGGCAGCATGCTACGACCCTGAGAGTTCAATACTCGTCGTGAGTGGTGGAGTGAGAGACCCGAGCTTGGACCTGTTGGAGAAAAACGTATCGTCGTTGAGTGTTTGGAAAGTGATGCATGATAACGATCGTAAAGAATTTGGCGAGTTGCTGGATTTCGCGATGGTTGTAATGGGAGAAACGAAGCATTTATGTGACGAAACGAAAGATGGTAAGACAAAGCAATTTGATTGTATGTCGATCTCAAGAGAGAAAAGTATTGGGCTGATTGCAAGCATCAAGAATACACTTTCTGCTCCGCTGAAGATGATGGTAGGTAATGAAACGATGAAAAGCCGTGTAACACAAGGCTCGATTTGCCACCTAGCTTTGGCACCGAATGGCAACTTTGTTAGCATGGTGGATGACCTTGGAAGGATTGCCATCCGTCAAATTGATGTATGCGCGGATGTACTGAATTGGCAAGAAGTAGAAGACGAGACGGTTGGTCGCACCAAGGCAAATGCTATAAAGATGGTTATGTGGCTGGCAAACGACTTAGTAGCTTTGATGCTATCCAACGAGCGCGTTATGTATTCAAGGTTTATTATTTCAGGGAAAGATGAGACCGAATTTAAGTCATTCGCTAGCGATAGTGAAAGCGATGATACCTCAGGACCATATGGCCGACTTGTGCTTATCCCTGCTCAGCACTATCGACCTGTGACGGGTGTTTTGACTGGCAATGTTCGAACTCTCGCGTATGAGGTGAAGGAATTTTCATCAAGCGAGAAAGAGAGTTTTGCATTTACTGCATGCGAGCTTGTCATTATTGGAGATGTATGGGTTGCGAACCAGGTTTGCAATCTGGGAATAACTCCATTTGTTGAGTTGTTGTTGGACGCACAGAAGTTTGAAGACGCCCTAGAGGCGGTGGCTCTTTACGGAGGAAGTGATATTGCCATAAACGCGGACAGTATTCACCGCCACATCTGGATGCAATACCGACAGAAAGGTGCTTGGTTTAATGGAAAGTGTAATGATGAATTAGCCTCCAAAGACGACTTGGCACTTCAGGATCTTGTGCTTCTGTCCACACGACCACGTGGGCTACTTCAACGCGAAGAATGCGATGAGTTTTTGGATGCGTTGGGTCATTTACGAGCGATATCTGACAAACAATGGGTACTCAATGAATGCTTGCATGTTGTTGCAGACGACTCGGCCGCCAACATGAAAAGGATTCTTGAGATTGCGCAGGACGCATTTGTCTGTTTGGATAATGGCAGCGAGGTTGTTACAGAATTGTTGCAAGAGAAAGAGGATCTTGAGCGATACATGTATCGCCTTGAAACACTGCGGATGATTTTATGCAAAGAAGATGACATGTCTACAATGTCAATTGTAGGTGACCACACTTTTGATGGGGCTACATATGCTCGATTTAGATCGTCGTCTATCGTGACAACAGCGAAACAGTTTGCACGAGAGGGGCGCGTTGATGCAGTTAAGATTATATTCAGCCGACACGGATGGAACGTACTTCCTTGCTGGCTAAATATTCTTGAGTTGCTTCCACCCTCAGTTCCACCCTCTTCGTACGCGTTATTGCTTCCGGCCGTTACTGCCCAAGTAGAAGGCGATGATGAGGTCTTTGTTCTAAGCGGGTTGAATGGTGTTGATTCTGAATGCGATGACAGCAGTGACCCGGCGGTTCGGGTTGCGCTTCTCGAAGAGAATCGGCTTTACGACGCAACTGAAGAAGAGTTATTGAAATTTGAAGAATACAGAAGCATGGAACGCGAAGGGCGCAATTTAGCGTATAGGGAATGGCTTTCAAGAAGGATTTTGGAGCTGGACACTCGTTATGGCCAACTTGCTTTTGCTTATGAAATGAGCAGGCTGGCAACCAAGTGTCTATACGGATGGTCCGACGTAGATGCCAAGAAGCCTTTGGAGCAGCTCTTTCTGCACACTGAGCGCTTATACAAGTGCGTGTATTTGCTGCATTTATCAGCCTGTTGTTTGCTGCCACTGGAAGATTGGTCAGCGTTATCGATACGTGATCAAGCCATGATTGTGGTGGGCATTGACGAAAAGGAACTCGCTGGAGACGTTGCCTCCATCATCGATTGGTTGAATGTAGTGTTTGTTGTTCAGCGCCAAGATCGCTTGTATGCGCTGGACGGCCTATTTTCATGGCTGGCGCAGACTATTTTAGTGAAGTCGTCGCTGTCACGTCTGACACTTGCAGCGCAGTTGATTCAGCGAAGTAACCCCTCGATTGAGCTAACTAAACGCTTGATCCAAAGTGACACGCAGGTCATCAAGACCGCACTCAATATCGTTTACTCGGTGAAAGTTTCTGAAATCATCGGTGACAAACCGCTAAGCGGGAATACGAGTGGTTTTATGCAGTGTCACCTTACACTCGTTGAACAGCTATGGACGATATTCCAATCTTTGCCTGCTCGAAAGGAAAATGATCCGCCGGAGATGGCTCAATTGCAAGTGGCTGTGGATGAAATGGAGGATTTATTGATCACAGTGGATATGCTCAGCAAATATGAAGTGGCTTCCTCACCTGGCGAGCTTAAGTATCGGATGCTGACAGACAGCGATAGTACGACAGATGATGGCAGCACTAGTGGGCCGCTTTATTTGCTTGAACAGATGTGCTCGTTTGTTTTTTCAGGTCAGTGTCGTGACGACAAAGGACATCTTGGTGGAAAACAGTGGCAAGACGTTCTTCAAGATGCATTTAAGTTAAAAGAGCACGCATTTGGTGAGCAGTTGAGCCAACAAGTGATTTTGGATGTTTTAATGAAGCACCTGCTTGCCCCTGATTGTGCCTATGTTGAGGCTGCTCAAGATTTGGTGAATCATTGGATAGCCTTTGATGTACAAGCCGTTGAACATGTGATAGATGGATTGTTCATGGCGATCCGAGTAAAGCTAGATTCTCTTACTGGGTACTCAGAGAATACAAATGCGAATGCTGCTTACAAATCTGCTCTAAGCTGCATTGACATTGTCAGAAAGTTACTCTCTCTCCCATTATGGGACGAAGGCAATCGGGGAGCGTCGAATGCAAAAGAACACTACGAGGAAGTTTTGTCACTGGAGCTGGACACAATACAGGCATGTGAATTACTTGATTTATTGACGTATGGTGCAATCAAGATGTCGCCTTCACAGCTCCGTGCTAGAGAAGCACAAGATGACGCTCTTAAAATTCGACTTGATGCTCTTTGCCAAATATTTGCGAGTGACCCAACCAATTTTAAACCTTCCATGCGTGCTAAGGAATGGCTAGCGCAACACAGTGGTAGCAAAGCTGAGCTTTCAAACGATAGAACGGCGACAGATGTATGGAATGAACCACTGGCAGCTGTTATGAAATTGGCTAGATTGCTGCGTGTTGACTCGCATAAGCTGATAATTTGGATGAAGGGTGCATATGCGGCCTTATATTGTATGGATTACGATGTTGCGTACGATCTGACAATGCAAGTAATTGCTGAAATTCCGTCCAAGACTGATCTAGTTGCAAATGACAGTGGCAGTAGCGATAAATTCACACTTCCACACCTGATTTCGTTGGTGCTAGATCTTGTTTCTGCTTCGTCCTTCCGATCATGGGAGAAAAAGCGCAAGCTATGCTGTGCACTATTGAGTGCAACCAATGCCTCGTCCACAGACCTTTTTGCGCATCAAGTGACGGATCTGGTGGTTTCGTGTTTGAAGAGGATTGAAGCCGTCCAAGCTTTAATGTTCGAGCTTGGCTTGTCGGACAATGATTTGGAGCAACGACGACTAGATGGGTGCAACAACACCAGCAGTGCTGAATCTGTGCTACTAAATGAGCTGAAGGTGGTAATCGGCTTGCTGCACGAAGAAAGACATGATCATCAGTACCTGTTACGACTGTTGCAACGCGGAATTCAGCTGATTTTTGCAATGTCCGACACATTTGCTAGTACTGAAAACCACGATCATAATAAATCTTTATCGACATTTCTCCAGCAAATGGTACAACTTTGCGTGGAAGAAGCTGTAGAGCTGGAAGTTATCCGCACTGCTAGCGACCCAGGGGACTGGCAACAGTACATGGAACTGGGCTTCAGCTATTTAGTGATGTTGGGCGACCTTAGCAATTACGATAAAAATTTTGAAGCGTTTTGCATCGATGAAGTTCTCTCTCGATTATTCACCGATGAACGAAGACACGTTTCATCTGTGGCGCCATCTGATGAAATATTGCATACAACTGATGTCGTCGTTCGTAGCTTGCATCATTTCTTTCTGCTCCATGCATCCATAGCGAAGGAAAGCACGGTGGATAATGATGTGGAAACTTTGTCAAGTTGCAGAGAACGTTTCGGTACATTGTCTGCTTCATACGAGCGAGCACGAAGGGTGGTAACTTGTGCTGATCATTTACATAAAAGTACTTCAAGTGATGCAGCGCCTACAGCTGAGCAACCAAACGAGTTGCAGGTCTTGGTACCGGAACAACGATACCTAGTTTTTGTGAACCTAGCTCAACGATGCCAAGAGCGGCTGGTCTCACAGAAAAAATCTCAGGAGCTAGAACAGATGAGCATGTTCTTTAACACAGAATTGGATTTGGAACGTTTCTCGCAAGATGAAGGTTATCGTAACAACAAGATCCTACTACTAGCCACGAAAAAGGAACACTTTCAGCTGGCGAGACAGTTTGCCAGCAAGTACGGTATCGATGAATATGAATGCGTGCTGACATACATTAAAAGCGCGCTCGCCTTTCTACCCGATGGAAGTCAGGCTGATCGTCGAGAGCAGCTGGACGAAGCATTTGCTATTGAACAAGTAGACATTTTGGAGGAAGCTTTGCAAAGACCGATATCTTTTGGAGACTTTTTGCTGAAAAGATCGGTAACAGGAGCTCCAAGTTTGTACGAAGCGATCGATGGAACGGATCATGTTGGTCTTTTGCTCGTGTTACGCATGATTTTAGAGTGCTCGAAGCGACTAAACCAGGAGTCCGCAGAAACGGTGGTGTCATCCCACGTGCAACCTCTGTTTCCGCTGCCCAAAGCTTCGATTGACCGAATCACGCTTTTGTTCATGTGCCTGAAAAAGCTGAAAGATATTGCAGACTCACTCGACGATGTGGCCTCTGTTGACCTAAAACTGATAGGTGTAGCCTCTACAACTTCCGAGCTCTTGACCCCCTTAGCATCATCGCGCGCAGATATGGCAACTAATCAGCAAATAGCCGTTGAAGCAGCGCGGCCCCTTTTGACTGGCAAGTCCATTAAGTTTGTAACCAAGATCCTGCGCAAATTGCATCGTGTGACACCGAGTTCCATGGTCATGATCTATTTCAACGATACACTGACAAACTTATGGAGAGAACATGGAGCTGTTGCTACCACTGAAGCTAAACGTGCCGACTTAGCGTCCTACGCGTACAAGTCGTGTATGCCATATCTATCGGTGCTTTCAAGCGAGCATTTAATGCTATTCCATTGCTTTTTCCTCAATGGATTGGACAGGGAATCATTACCTGAGATAGTTGCGCATATTAATGTTGGTGAAGAATTTTACGGGCAGCAATTGAGTGGCCTGCAGCGCTTTGGCACACTATTGACACTGCAAAAGCGCGTTGAGCTAGTCGTACATATATTGACGATATTTCAGTCGAAGTATAACTCGTGGCAATCTTCTGGACCACGCTCAAACGATTCGTCAGTGTCATCCACAACTTCTTGTTTGTCCGTCTCCTGGAACTTGGTACAATGTGATCGGAAAAAGCAGGAACTGCAATATCTTGAGCGTCAGCTGACAGAAAATTTGTGCTGCTGGATGCTTGCTGAAATCGAACAGAATGAGTTGGCATGTGACAAAATTGAAACCAAGGCCAAGCCTACACAGTCACTACAGCCTGTTGCAGTAGCGTTAAGGGCTTGGTTTGCCATGGATCCTCGTCAGCAAGCAGCTAATGAGAACACTCTTCACAGTACAGTCTTGATGGAACTTTGCCAGCGTGTAAACTGCGTGGAATTGGCAACTCTCATTATGGAACTGGTCCTGCGTGCCGATGGAAATGAATACGATCATGACCTTGTTGCAAATGCAATTGTTCACAGCTACAAAACGACCGTAACTAATCTGATTAATCGGTGTATGAGCCCTGAAGAAGATGGAGCAAGTATTTCTGTAGAGTGGGTAGAGCGTCTTGCCTGGACGTGGGCACTGGGTGCATCTGCTACTAGTAGCACTCGAATAGCTGAACTTGAAGAATACCTGCGCGTTACTTTGCGAATCTCATGCGATGAGAAAGGTAAAGCGCATACAATCTACGAACGTATTATGATGCAGCTTAAAGAGTCTCCGTCCACGCTATTGAAGGAGATCATATCAAGCCGAAATGAAGAGCTGCAGACCTCTGCTGAAAACAGCACTTTGACAAAGAATGTGGCCGCGTTGGCGCGTGACGCTGTGCTGTCCCAGTGGAAACAGATGGTTGCGGTCAAGGAAGAGAAGCAAAAGTGGACGGAAGCTGCAGTTCTCAGTCACGTTATGTGTTCTTGCGGCGCCACAAAGGGTATTGACGCTGATAATGCTGCATGGGATTTTGGCCTGTACGTGAAAGCTGTTTGGTCGAGTTTACTCACGAAACACAAAATGGACGAAAGTACTAAGCTACAGCACATTTTCAAAGTTCCAAGCCGCGACATCTTACACCAGTTTGCTGCCGTATTCGAGGAGTTGCTAGCTTTTATTGAGGCACGCCATCACGACAATAACCCCAATGCTTTGCACTTTGCGGAAATGGCAACGCTGGCATTGAGTAACTTGCTCGTTCGTCACGGCGATATACATGGCGGTGTAGAAAAGCTCGCACAGCGAGGCGCTTCAGCTTGGCATCACGAGCAAAATCTTGCGGTGCAAACACGTGTCCATGCGCAATTTGAAGTGGGAACCGTGACCCAGAGACCAGCAACGTTGCAAATAGCGGAAGCTACAACCTGCTGGACGGCTCTGTTTGCACGGGGTGTCTGGAGTGCTCAGCTTTTGAGTTGGTACACGTCGTATGCCTTTGCGAAGCTTAGTAGCGAGAAAGAAGCTACGGAAGCGGTGATCTTGACGTATTGGGAAACTAGCAACATTGACATAGCGATTCAACTGCTTCTGATGTGTCCATTTGATGATCTAAGAGAGAAGCACGCTGATCGTCTGTGGTCGTATGTACGAACCCTTCCACAAGCATCTCACAGCTGGTCGACAACCATGGAGCTTTCGCTTCTGCGCTTTGATGTTGCAGTGCTTGTGCAAAACGGCCTTTACGCGTCAATGGTGGCATTCCTCCTCCAAGGCTCTAAGACAAATCCAGCACTTTGGACGTCCAGCGGTGCCTACGTCGTGTGCGCATTGGTGTCAAAGGGCGAGTTTGCAGCTGCTGGTCGTCTCACTTGCGCGTTGCAGCACACACACCCGCTTCTATGGGATTTAGAGAATGCACGTCTAGTGCTTGCAAACTACCTTCGATCACTCGCCTCATCGTCTGGACCGTACAAGAATATCAACAATATCAATCTCTCTCACCTGCAGCATCAGGTGTACGTCCAAACATCCAGTCAATTTGCAAGTGCGCTCATTAGCAAGCAGTACGGCGGGGGGCATTGACGATATCAATGAAAAATCAATTGAAAGCTCGTTTTGACTAGCGTTCTATCTAAGCTTATTTTGCTTGACTCATGTGATTTGTTCCAGACTTGATACATTGAGCTTGAGCAGGTCCACAATGTGCAAATTTCGCCAATCTTTCCTCGGATCTTCCAAATGTTCTTCAAAATCCACCACATCCGTTTCGCTCGTTTGCTCAAGTCCTTTTGTCAATATCGTTGCAGCTTCGTCTACAACTGTCAAACGATTTTCAACTCGCGTCCAGCCACGTTTGACGTCCTTAAGTAGCAATTGTAGTCCACTCGTTGTATTATGTTGAAGCTGATTCTTATTTACCTATAGTATCCCAAAATAATAAAATACGATTATTAGTCATGTCACATATATATCTATCTATAGCAGCTAAAAAGAGTCTTTTGTATCCATAATTTACCACCAATACACAAGCTCGTGAACAATTTTGTTCCACTCTATCAGCGACTTTTTCTGTAAAATGACTCAGTTTATTCTCACAATTAGACGAAAAGGACCCATTTTCGGCATAATAAAAGCCTACAATCTTTAACTTTAAGCTCTTTTGACAATACGTGTCTACCATTGCACATGCCACCTCCACTAGCGGCGTAAGCGGTGTCTCATGGTGAAAAAGTGGTACAGCGTCTACAATCAAAAAGCTTTGTCCTTTTTCTTGACCTAATAAAACACCGCAGATGGAATTTGCAGGCCATTTAGCAGCATGTAGCATCAATTTCACGTATGGCTGCGTTTGTACTAGATACTTATTGTTGTCTCCCATGATGGATGGATATTGAGATTTGACTTGAATAATAGATACGAGACCTGTTCCTTTAGAGAGATAAGGTTTTGACGTGTGTGTTCTTATACAAGAAATGTCATTCACGTAAGGTATCTAAATCAATGACATTTATATTTGGTGTAAACATTGTGTAACATATTCATTTTAACTCAAATAATTACATGACAATGCACAGTAATAAGATCAAAGTGTCTCGTTCGTCGTCGCTTACTTCGTCGTTATCGGATTCATCGTCATCTACAACTTCATTTTCTTCCAATAGTGAAGATCCAGATCCCTATAATCATTCTAGTAGACGTCGTTTTCCACCAGTAGTAGCTCCAGTTTATCCTTTTAAAGTACATCGTGCAGTCTTTCATGCGAAAAAGAAGCATCGATCAGGTATTCATTGCAATTATTGTATTATATAATAATTAATAATTGCTGAATAAATTAATTAATTGCTGCATGATTTCATATTATGAGTAGATATTGATCCAGATGCGTGGAATCGAGAAGGGTTTGCTGGCTCAGATGTGTGTGAATTACCATTGGATGAGTCTAATGATATCAAACGTGAACATTGTAGTGAACTAAGTGTCAAGCGTTTTATCAATGAATATGAACGTCCTGCTTTGCCTGTTGTAATTGATGGTATTCCAGAAGCTGATGGATGGGGTGCTCTCAAACGCTGGTCATTGAAAAAGTTGCGCAAATCTTACAAACGCGTCGAGTTTAAATGTGGTGAAGATGATCATGGCAAATCGATTCGCATGAAATTCAAGTATTTTATGACGTACATGAAACACCAGACGGATGATAGTCCGCTTTACATCTTTGATAGTACTTTTGACGACCATAACGATACGAAGTCATTGCTGGATGATTACAAAGTACCAAAGTACTTCCCAGAAGATCTGTTCTCTTTGGTTGGCGAGGACAGACGACCGCCATACCGCTGGTTTTTGGTTGGTCCCAAACGATCAGGTACTACATTGCATGTGGACCCGCTTGGTACTAGTGCGTGGAATACACTGGTTGTAGGCCGCAAACAATGGGTGCTTTTCCCACCGCATTTACCCAAGCACCTTGTGAATGGGAAAAATTACGTCCGTGATGATGAAGATGACGAGGCTGTCAACTATTTTATGGATCTATTGCCGCGTCTAAAACGGGCTAGTTCACGTGAGACACTGCAGTGTGTCGAGTTTATACAGTACCCCGGAGAGACTGTGTTTATCCCAGGCGGGTGGTGGCATGCCGTGTTCAATGTGGACGATACTGTGGCAGTTACTCAGAACTTTTGCAGTTCGCAGAACTTCCCCGCTGTATGGCGCAAGACGCGTAGTGGTCGTAAGCGCATGGCAGTCAAGTGGCTTAAAAAGCTGGAAACGTGCAATTTCGAGCTGATGGCATTGGCGTTGGAGCTTAACAAGAAAGATAAGTTTGTCATGTACAGCAAGGAAGAAAGCAGTCGTGAATTTTCATCATCTAGCTTACGCAAAAGAAAGAAGAAAAGAAGTGATAGTGACGAGAAGATCAAAGAGCTTTCGAGAGGTTTGCACCAGAGCGACAAGAAGAAGAAAAAGTGCTGCTGACTTGGATTGAAAGACTTGTCTGTTTTGCTTTTATAAAGCCAATCGAGATGCATGAAGGAAGGAAGAAGGAACGAACGAACAGATACACCGTAGAGATGCATGAATGAATGAATAGATGTAGACTATTGCATGCTACCGGCTGTCATGATGATGATGATTCAACAACACCTGAAAGCAGATGGTGGACGAAGTTTTCAGTCGGCTCTTTCATACAAGTTACAAGTTTAGTAGACTGAAGTCTTTTCCCGCCAAGAGCTACGACAGGATTTGGTAAAGAGACAATATTATGCACAAGATAGGCAGTCAGTCTCACTACGATTGAACACACGAATTGATTCAGTCTTTATATTTGACACTAGAGACCACTAGAAACCTCTGGAAAACCAAGAAGCTCCATAGCTTTTGAGAAACCACTTGTCCTACTACTACTACTACTACCTCTTCTTTCAGTCAGTCAAGCATTTACTACTCGTAGAATTCATTATCATTACCATGGCTTTTGTCCGTTTGAGTGTCTTTTGTGCCAACTTGGTAGTGCTTTTGTCCAGTGCTAAAGCTGAGACGATTGTTGGTGGCTATACGCCGCAGCATATCACTGACGACGCCGTTGACACTTTGGTCAAAGCTTTGAGCAATACAGAGGCGTATCACAAGGATGTCAATACTTTGATCTGCCTTATTGCGATCGAGAATTTCAAAACACAGACTGTGGCTGGTACCAACTACATGTATCAAGTGGCAGGCTGCGCTGTGGAATCGGAAGATGAAATGGGCGCGTGCAACGATCGCGAGTGTGACTATTCTAGCTATGACATCATTGTTTATTCCCAGCCATGGACAAACACGCTTCAAGTGAGGTCCATCACGCCGACGGAGTAAGATGAAAGCGAATGTACTCGATTCCCAAGGCCGTCTACTGCTTAGAAGTATATACACACGCCTGGAACTTATTGATGAAATGTGAATGTTGAGTTCTACTTTAATGCATCAATGACGTCTTTTCTTGTCGCGACCTCATTCTTAAGTAGCTAAACGCCAATGTGAGGCTAGTCCAAAAGCGTACGCTTTGGCAGGATGAACGAGTGTCGAGCATCTGATGGAAAGCCACGGGCAAATAGATAAGATTGCGGCTTATTTGAGCAAGTCTATTGGTCATGATACCGACACCACCTCAGAAGATAATCATAATTGCATATTCATCATAAAGCTGCAGGAACTTATAGAGGCGAATCGCTCAGTCACAAGTATTGGTATCCCTTCATTGCAAAGTATCATATCAAGTACTTGTGTTTGACTTTGACGCAGTAGTCCATCCTCAAACCCCACACTGTACACCGCTCTTTCCTTTATCAGTACCCTGGAATTGAAACTATACACTTGACCTACATCATTACAATGTACATCAGACTTCTCGTGATATGATGCTGTTATTTTGGAGGAAGTGCGCACGACACACGTAATTTCATCCCATTGAACTCCTTCCCATCCAGGTCTTCTACAGCTCGATTCACATCCTCTGCGCTACGTAGCGTCACAAAGCCAAACCCACGAGCAGTAATGCGAACGGTTTCGTACCCCAGATACTGAAACAGAAACGAAAGCTCTTCGCGTGAAGTCCCTTGTGGAAGATTGCCAACGTACACCTCAAATGGATGAGGAGTGGGATGAAAACGATCGCCGCCTCGACCAGGGTTTCCACCACGGTAGCCTCCACGATCGCCTTCAAGACCTCGTCCCCGATATCCACCACCATTGCTTCCCCGCCGACGAGTATCAAGATTAGGCGGAACTTCAGCGTGGCCCCACCAGACGCTGTGAACAATAACGCCCTCCGGGTTTCCATTTTCATCACGGGTAGGAACCGTCAGCACAAGGTTCTCACCTTCGCGGATAGGTACACGGTGGTTAAATTCATCCTGAAAGATTTCTTCAATAAATACGAGAAAACCAGTAGACACAATCGTTAAACGCAGGGTAAATGGCTCGCCAAATGTCAATGGAAAGCGATTCAGTGCTTGCGAGCAGCCCCATCGTCCGTCAATGTTGCTGTTTTGAATGATATGTCCTCCTCTCTGATATCGCGGGTTAAAGTGGTATAGCACCGTGCCAGGGTACGGTGCACCGCTGAGCATACTCGCCTGCGTGCTGATATTGAAACAGCAACGAGGCGACCTTTGCGGCATTGTTGCATGAATAATCAGCGTGTTATTCGTAGCAAAAGCCGCTTCCGGAAGAACTATATCGAGTGGGGTTCCTGTGGCCGAGTCCCAGTCTTCGTTTCTTAAAAAACTCTCGAGTGGTAATTGGATCGACGTGCGTCCACCCTGGATTTTAATCTCACCTGGCTTGTCACTCTTGATACTCCTCGGTCGTTTTACATTATGCACCCCGCCTACAATACTACCAGACCCTCCTCTTAGAATGTCCGTTAAGGGGTTTGTTCTTTTCACAGCCGTTGAAAGTCCAGCCGTCCTTGCCGTTCCTCCAGTCTTCTTAGCCATCAACAACTTGGCTCGCTCCACCGCCGACATGGTAGGTTTAGAACCACCAGGTGTTGTAGCTGCACTTGTACCTGTTGCATTATTACTGGCTCCAACACTTGACGTGGACGAGCGCTGAGCTAGAAAACTCTGCACCCTCGCTCTGTCCGATGAGACCTGACGCTTTGGTGTCGTGCTAACAGGTGGTGTAACGCCTCCTGCTGCATGTTTACCCATCAGTGCTATTGAGCTCTTGGAGCCTAATGGAGTCGGTGCTAAATCTTTAGGAGACGTGAGGAGCCCGGACGATGTTGATACACTCAAGTCCGAACTTGCGTCATTGACTCCAGAATTGGATGATAATGTAGTCACATCAGCTGCAGAATGAAAAAGTTGCATCAAGAGAATTTCCTGTGCTGTCAGGTACTTACCACCATAAGCCTCGAGCTGTAAATACTGCTGCAGTTCGTCGTCCTTGGCCACCTCGACCATCGTCTCATGCTTTGCCATTGGGAAGAGCGATGAAATAAGATAGGTTTTAGGCGGATTGAATATTATGTATTTTACACAAATAACGAATGATGTGGTAAACGTAAAGTATGGCAAATTCAACAACTGCGACGATGCTGAAGGTATGCGGCAGTTTGCTGCTTGGGTGGCTGGCCGTCGTGTATAGCGAAGACTCACACAAGCACTTGGACAAAGTGTTTAATGATAAAGAGAACGAGATGAAGCAAATGTTTATGGTTGTGGAGCAACAGCTGAGTGCTGCGCAGCAGGTAGCGGGTCTTTTTGTATTGGAGGACGCGCAGCTAGAGATGTTTACGGTCGAGACAAGAGCAAAGTTGCGTGCAATTGAGGAAGAAGTGAAGGTGAAAGTAGAGGAAACAATGAAGGAGGTAGAAATGCTGCGACAGACGGCGGTAGCGAATGTGACGACGTGGAAAAAGACACTTCAGGGATTGAAAGACGCGACGGAGAGGAACCAAGTGACGTTAGAGAAGATGAGAAAGGAAAAGGAGGATAAGATGCAATTGGAGCTAGCAATGGTGCAAGAAAAAGAAAGACAGCAAGGTATCGAGAAGGAATTAAAGCTCCAAGCAATTGCGGAGCTGAAACAGCTACAGAAACTAGAGCGATTACAAGAGCTTGACAAGCAGAAAATGATGGAAAGAGCACAGGACGTTGTGCTAAAAAAATCCATCATATTGGAGAAAAAGGAACAAGGAAGTTGGATAAATATCGCAAAGAGCCGAGAGCTGGAGAAGCACATGATGGAGAACCAATGCGAGCAAAGCGAAATGCCGGTGGTGAGCAGCTTGGGCTTGAACGATGAAAGTGTTACGACGGAAAAGGTTGCTAGTTTTTCTGAAGATGCAGGTCATGACGCTGGTGTGAAACGTTTCTTAGCCTGGTATGTAATTGCCGAACACGCCTTGATTAAGGCAGTTGCGACAATTTGTCAACATTTCGTGTTACCGGTGGTGATAGTTATCGGTTTCTTTCTTGTGATGACCGTCGTCATTGCGAGGTTTCATGCCACAAAGCAGGCGCGACGCAGTCGACGAGTTTTGTACTCTGGGTATCCAAAGAGCTATGGGCCAAAGCCACACCCTGAAACAAAGCATCCAGATTGATATCCGACCGCGCGTACGAGATCCTGTTCCGCGTCATGACTGAGGTTTTGCGAGAAAGCAACTATATTGGAGCAGTATGCCAATGCTTGGTACGTCGGAAGGTGTGACTGTTATCGTTTGCACAGCATCTACACCAAATGAATTCGATGAATGGTATTCTACTCACTCCGTAATGTATTTGTCCGTAAAGACGAGGCGACTATTTTTTCTTGACTTTGTAATCTTACGATCTCATGGAATTGAGAATATTATTTTGATTACGAATGTGAGTGATTACATCAAGCACATATAAAGACACGACACATTTGTGTTTACGATAGAATTGTTGTTGTATTTAAGCAGGATTCTTGTATGCTTAGAGAAAAGCATATTTGTAGGTCGTGCTAAGTACGATTGCATTCAGTATTTTGATTGATTGATTATACAACTGATAGCTCAGCATTATGGCACGCTACGCAAGAGCATAACAACTAGTTACTTACCGCTTCTCATTTCACTTAGCTAATTACATATTGAATGGCATGATTAGGGTGCGTCGGATCAGACTGTTGGAAGTTTGCTGCTGGTCGTTAGTGTGATTGTCTACGTCTACTACAGTACCTGGGTTCTACTCTCAGTACGTTCTATTTCAACGTCTACCAATGAGTGACAAAAGTGTAATATACATACTCTTAAGTAGCAGCTTGACGGTACTTTATGCTACTGTTTGTTTTTGTACTTCAGCCATTCATTGATGACGACCATATCATTCAGCACTTTTTCCTGCCGTATCATTACGCTATTAGCATCCCTGCGGTGCTCGTTGTGCTAGTTTTCAGCGGTGCTGCCACATTTATTGGTATGGTCATGATCAAGAGTCAACAGAAGAAAAATGAGTAGCAACAGAACCAAGCAACGTATTCTCCATGATTACGTCAAGTCAGAGCGTGATGTAAGTAACATTAAATCGTCAACTGCTTAGAGAAGTCAGCGTCGATGACGACGAACAACAATGTTTGCAATCTACGTTGCGTTCGTTCATTGAAATTCCTTCAAAATCTTAATTACGTACTTATCCAGCAGACGCATAGCTGTACCAGTAAGTAAGCCCTCTGACACCATTAACCAAACATTGTAATACCGCAACAGAATGTATAGCTTACGACGGGTTGCCACTGCGCACACCGCTCCGTCACGACCAGCGAAGGTAAGCAGTAGCTGTCAAACTAATGGGCGGCACTTTCAGCAGGAGCTGCAAGCGTGCTTTCTGGCTGTGAAACCATGTAGCCCATGCCCTGAATCTGGTTGTAGCTAAATCCTTTGCTCACCAGCTCCTTTACTACTTCATTTGTCTGCTCCTCACGCAACATCTTAGCATTTGCACAACAAACCCAAGGTCAGCGTTACTGTTAAATATTAACGTGGTATAAAGCACATCTAGAATCGTACTTCAATGCTAAGCGGCACCAGCGTTACAAGTAGCGTCGTCGACAGGACCCACAGCCACCTGCCAGAGTTCTTCCAGCTCTAAACGTTACAAAACAATCAAAAGTTATGCAATGCAACATCTACAAATTTATTTTCAGCCAAGGTGCACCTTAATGGCAAACTTGACGCCACCCTTGACGGGACCGGATTGGCGAATCCGGGTCGGGAAATTCACGAACAATTCCTGCAGCATCAACATGACCGCAAAGATTTTAGAGTTCTATACAAATCAGCCATAAGGAAGAAAGTGACAGACTACTAGTAGCGTTTGTACCATGAGACCGGCGTTGTTAGACCCCTTTTTGTCCTTCTCTAGCTCGCGAAGCGCTCCAATAGCCGACATAATTCTTTGCTTTGGGTGGTGTGGCCAACAATATCGCTTTTTTCCTCGGCAAGATACCTTTCTAATTACATATATAATGTATTTTACCAGTTTCGCATGGCAGCTTGAAGCTCGTGCAAAATAAGACCCTCGTTGATGTGGTCTTGCGGATTGCGTTCGAGCTGCTGTGACGACATAATACCACCACATCGACGCAGTTGTGACTGTCTAGTAATTTTTGCAAGAGACTTTGCGATCATTGGTGCATAGTTGTCAATGAGATCGTGATCTTGCCGCTGCTGCGGTGTGCACAAACGTCCAGCTTCGGCAAGCTGCTGTAAAATGGCCCGACAGCAAGTCTGGACGCCATCAGTATAGCACGCGTCTAGCGTACTCTTCTTTAATCCACCGTACTTGATGCCGGTATCCGCTGAAGATCCAATGACGCATACGTCTATAGCCAAGACGAGGCGAGCAGGCTCGACATTTCCGTCATCATGTCGACTTGCTGCTCGCAAAGGTGAAGCGACGAGCTGGTTCATAAGATATGAAGATGTTCTATGACAGCGAAGACCATATTTCTTCCATAATTTTGCCGTACATACTCCTTTTGTGGTTCCGCATACAAAGAAATCTTCGTCATTGATTAGCGGGGCGTGATTTGCAAAGCGAAGTAGGCAGACCTCCATGTCGCTCTCGACACCTATTTCCACTTCACCAAGCATTAGCGCAACACAGCTGATCGAGAAGAATTCTTCGTCATGAACAGCGTATAGTATATCATCTGCGCTTTCGCCCAGATCCGCAACAAAGCGATCAATCGGTTCTTCTCCGTGTAGGCATTCGACCGATGTACTGATCTCCTTGACATCGAAGTTAAACTGTACTCCAACAAACGGAGGTGCAATGTACCTCAGACTCTGAAAATACAGTGCAAGTGTATCTGCAGCACTTATAAGCTCCAACGTATCTCGTGGACAAGGTACGGATAGCCTCATCTCTGTCCCTGAAAATTGTTGGTGGTCTTCATCCACGACAAAATGAGCTACCTTCTTCACCACAGCAGTCTCCTCGGAGTCAGGATCGATACAAAGTTGCACATACAAGATGCCATCAGAGTTGGAGGTTGTAACAAGTTTCAAGCACGCGTCACTTGATTGAAGCTGACTGTATAGCATCGCCGCCTTGAGCCCAACACCTACGTCATCCTCAATCGGTATCATTAGACTCGATCATCTCAGCGCTGTGCTACCACCCGCATTCATAATTGCTGCAACGCACCGTATTTTCCACTGTTGCATCCTCCTCCTCCCTCTCTATTCACCTTTGTCGTCTCAAAAACGTTGCAACACAGTAGTTTGACCTCGTGCGCGTGCATCCCTGAGCCAGTATCCGCACACAGGATGTCCACATTACCAGTATCTCGATTCAATTTGACGTCAAGCCGCAGCAGCTTTAGAGGTACATCATTCCACGAAGACTCTACATTCAGTGATCGCGTTGCATCCCACGCTGGAAGAAAAAAAAGAATGCACAACAACAATTAACAGTTAGTAGCTTGCTTCTTTTCACTAGCGTCGGGCTCGTTGCACCATTTTCAAACAGCTCCTTTGCAGCTTGCACTAGTGCATCCCGAGGGTTTCCAAAGCCCAGTAGCTCCAAGTTATTGCGGATAAACTGTGCACCGCGGTCTCTACGTTTCCTCTCTTGTTTTGTCATTTGCGTGCGGAATGACAAATGGATGACCATCACTCCGCTTGACCTAGTTGAACCTCTCTAATGGCATATTAGGCTAAACCTGACTAGCTGCATACATGGCTTACGTTATGGTCGTTGGCCTCAGTTCCAAAGGTATCTGCGCCGATGACATTAAAGAAGCTATTGACTGAAGATCAATGGCACAGCGTGATCCACACGACAGCAGGACTTGGCGCTGGTGCTATCTCCACGATATTGTTATATCCGCTAGATTTGGTAAAGGTGCGCTATCAAGTGCATGAGAAGTCTGCGCACGCCTACCGCTCACTTGGCCACGCCTTTCGCTCCATTGTGGCGGAAGAGAGTGTACGTGCATTGTTTCGTGGAATGAGTCCAGCATTGTACGGTGCGACGTTGTCGTGGGGAATCTACATGCTCGTATATCAAAATGCAAAGGAACGTTATGCTCGCATGGCAGATGACGGATGGATCCAGGGATCGTGGCAGCACTTTTTTTCGGGCATTGAGGCTGGAATGATTTGCGTGCCTTTGACGAATCCAATTTGGCTTATCAAGATTCGTATGCAAGTGCAAAGTAATAAACGAATGCAAGCTAATGCCGCTGGGAAAGATGCAGCGAAGAAGCTGGCGGAGAATGCACCTTATAGAAATGTAACAGGTGCGTCTGCTGCGTTGAAGTTTGTTACATGTAGTCGCTGAGCTGATTATTTTGTGATGGTTTGTTGATATGTAGATGCATTCCGACGAATTGTAGCTGCAGAAGGTGTTTCAGCTTTGTACAAGGGCATGATCCCTGCGCTGTTTCTTACGACAAATGGTGCGATCAAATTTGTCGCCTACGAGCGGCTGAAGGGTCTGTACTTGACGCATTGGAGTCCAGAGTTAGACATGGTTCCAACATTGGTGATGGGCGCTGTGGCGCAGTCGATTGCATCAACTGCTACATACCCGTACCAGGTGATTAAAGCTCGTTTACAGCAGGGAGGGCCTTCCGCAGACAAATATACCGGGACATGGGACTGTACAATGAAGATTATCCGACACGAAGGCTACCTTGGTTTGTTTAAGGGCTTGTCGGCGAATATTCTCAAGGTCATGCCTAATGGTGCTATCATTTTTGCTGCTTATGAGCAGATTCAAAGTGCCATGAAGGTTATGCTGCTGGATGAGTAGAATATCCAAGGATACGACTGTGAAGCAGTAGAGGTATTATCATACATACTACAATAAATTGCACGCAACAGCTAGACGAGACAGCTAAGTTCATGTTAAAAATACTGTGTGGAAGCACAAATAGCGCGAAAGTCTATTATATATGTCAATGACGCACAACATCTGACAATGGGAAAGCTACATCTCACATCTCTTCAATCCACGAATCCTCTTTAAAACATTTCGTCTTCAACGCGAAGATACTCGCCAATGTCGGCTTGGTGCAGCACCACATAGGCCGTGGGCTCTAGATCTTTGCACAACTCTGTTGCCTGTGCGGCAACACCAAAGCCCAGTGGAATGTCATTCATGCTGTAGACGACAACACCAGCATACTGCGGTGTTCCCTCTGTGATGCGACCAAGACCAGACTTGACGACATTATTGCCATACAAGAAGGACATTTCAGAATTGGGTTTAATCCAGACCTTATATTTAGCGTACTGAGCAAGATAGTCAAGAAACGTGATACGTAGATGAAACTTCTTGGATTTAGTAAGTTTACCAACAGCAGTGCCAATACTAAGAAGCTCGTCCGTACCGACGTTCGTGGACTGGCGCATGAGCTTTTCGCTGCAATAGTACACAATATTGCCATGCAATCGAAAGCAATATTTCTCATCTGGTCTTGTTACTAAATGCTGAACATTTCGACCAATATACTTGCTAATCTTTTCAAACACCGTTGTCATCTCCTCATCCGTGAGTGGACGCATATTATAATCACAGCTTGGTCGTATACCACGTGTGTTCGAGTGGTGTGTCTTGCAGTTAGTTCACTGGTTACTGGCAATGCCCACTCAAAGCTTCTTTTCATCCAATCCAATTGCTTCGACGTGTGGATTGGTGGAAATATTGCAGCTGGATTGGTGGTTCGGACATGACATGGCTAGATGGCATTCATTGGATCATTGCTAATTTCGCACAAGCATCAAAGTAATGGAGGGCAAGATTGAATCTGTTCAGGTCTTTGGCCGCAAGAAGAACGCAACGGCTGTTGCTTACTGCAAGCGTGGCCAAGGTCTGATCAAAGTGAACGGCACGCCCATTGAACTCGTAGAACCGGAGATCCTGCGTGTCAAGACCTACGAACCTGTGCTTTTGCTTGGCCAGCAGCGTTTTGCTAACGTACGATAACTATCCGCTTCTTGTCTTCAAGTCGCTAGCTACGTGCGGCAGTTTGGTATTGTCCACGACGATATAAACGGACAGACGTGGATAGCCTTGCCTGCTGTGACTGCTCGGTCTTCCACCTTCAGTCCACCCACATCTAAGCTGTCTGGACCGTGTGTACTGGCGGACGACGCTGTTTCGCTTATTGTGCTTACTAAGCCGTCAAGTGTCCATCACCACAACGCACACATTTTGCTGTGATAGCACTCGCACCACCCAAATAATCTGTGTGCATGCTCTTTTTACCGTCGTGTAAATACCATGCTGTCGCAACTGGCTTGCACTCCCCGTTCTACCTTGACGATTTGATAGGTGCGCTGACGTGTTGTGTGTGTTATTGATGACGACGAATATCAGGTGGACATTCGTATTCGTGTAAAGGGTGGTGGTCACACTGCGCAGATCTATGCGATCCGTCAGGCTATTGCCAAGGCTATTGTTGCTTACTACCAGAAGTGTAAATATCCTGCTCAGTTTGATTCTGTTTCGTCTGCGAGACAAAATGCTGACATTGATGTATGTTTGTGCTGTTCAGATGTGGACGAGGCATCTAAAAAGGAGATTAAGGACATTTTGCTTGCCTACGACCGTACGCTCCTGGTAGCTGATCCTCGTCGCTGCGAGGCCAAGAAATTTGGTGGTACCAGTGCTCGCGCTCGTTTCCAAAAGTCATACCGTTAAGCAGTATATCTTCATTCGAGAAGCTCGCTGCTTTGTAGTCTGCTCATTTGTGCGCTCAGTGATATGCTCCATGCATGTAGTAGCTCAGTGCTGCATTTATTGTAGCAAGGCGTGCATAGTTGCGTACGGTATAACCAACCAATTAAACCTCGTAATAAAACGTGCGATTTTAGCGTCATTTGCTCTTAGACCGTTGCAAAAACACTTCCACTTAAATGTATGCTCGTATTCGTACTTAATATGGGTATTTTATATACAATAGTTTTCTGGTAGATTCGACACACACAAAAGTAGGTCGAAAGAGATCATCATGGCTGTAACGGGCAAACGTGGTGTAGGTATTCCAACAATCTTACTACACGACGGTGAGGGTACTATTGTTTCCATCGAGATGAAAAATGGAGAGACATATCGTGGTTTATTAGATGAAACAGAAGACAATATGAATTGTGTTATGAAAGAAGCTGTACGTACTGATATTAATGGCAACACGACTCAAGTCGAGCAAGTTTATCTACGTGGGAGTCAAATTCTCTTCATTGTATTTCCAGATATATATCCTTTTGTACAACCTTTAGACTATATATCTGTATATATTTGTATGATACTCTTTTACTTACTTGGTTACTCCTTAACCTATTTGAACGGTATGTTTGTTTTGCTCATTTGATTTAACGCACGTTAAAACACGCTCCGATGTTTAAACGAGTCAAGATGTGGAAGAAACACAAGGGATCAATACCTACATTAGGACAAGGAGGAGTTGGAGGTGGTGCGCCAAGAGGTCAAGCCGCTGCAATCATTCGAAAGGGTAAGTTAAGCTCCAACACGGGTAGTTCAGGTCTCCTGACGTACTAATTCTCGATACGGTGTGGTTTCTTGTAGCCCAAGAACGGAGAGGGGGGATTTTGAGAGCCATGTCGGAGAAAAGTGGTGCTGCAAGCTACAGACATGCCTCGCCAAAGTCACGGTGCAGCTTTCCAGTAGCAGAACCGGAACACTACGGCTGCAGTAGGGCAGAGAATTTGCTATTGCTAACCATTTAATCCAGCGAAGGCCAGAATGCTTTGGACAAGCCTAAATAGACGCATACACGAAGACAACGGTTGTCAAGTGGTTGACTTGCCCAAGTGGCACGAATAAACGAATCTTTGTTGCAATTAGCTTATTTCTGAGCAACGTAAACTGGCCGACGAAAACCTTTCGAAGATGTCTGACATACTTCTAAAAACTCGCAGCGACGAAAACCAACGGCGTTTACAAGATGTTCTGGAAAGTCTTTCGGTCGTAGCTGGATCTTGGCGTAGTTTACAGCAGTGACTTCGGACGTAAACTTCCGTTTATGGTATGATTTCCATGGCTGCGGCTCGACAATGAAACGGCCACCAGGCAGCAGCAGGTCGTAAATCTTAGCAAACACCTTCTTGATGCCGTCATCGCCATGGAAAAGGTGAATCCATTTTGTCACACTAAAGCTGTACATACGGGCCATCGTTAGATTATGTTCCCGACTTATCAGCACAAACAGTCGTGATAAGCTTACCACGTGATAAAGTCATAATCTTTGCCAGCATGCACGTCCGACACGATATCTTCACGCTTAAAGACTACGTTCAATGGGAACTTAGAGCTACATACCGACAACAAACGCTGCAAGTAAAACACTGACCCGCCCTTGCAACAACCAGTACATGCAACCAACAACAACGTACCCAACGGCAGCCTTACCAATGGCTCGAGGGACAATGTCATGACCTTGCATCGATGGCTTCCAAAGACGAAAAGAAAGTGGCATGTCCTTGGCAAACGCGTCTCCATCACTTGTCTTCGTGCTTGTTTCGTTCGCAGTCTTTTGCTTGACCTCCGAAAACTCGCTTACACCTTCTCTACAAGCCTCCACACGAGCTTCAACACCTTTATCTTCAGTCAATTTCACGGCTGGAATCTTACGAAAAGCCGTCTCAATCGTCTCCTGTCTTAAAACATCCTTCAAATGTCCTCTAGCTTGAGAAATAAGCTGCGGGTCCACATCAATCCCTAATAGATAATTTGGTGCCAGTTGTTTGGCTATCGTAATCGTAAATTCTCCTGAATTACACCCAATATCAAGTCCACGTTTGCCTTCAAACCAGATCTTGTCAAGTGCAGCAAGACGTGGATCATCTTCTAATTGACCCGGATGTTTTTGACCTAATCGATATGTATAGTAACTGTATACAAACAATACACGAAGACATACAGACCTTAGCCCTACATCTTACTACTATAGTATCAAAATATGACCAGAAATACTACAAACCTCTTGAAATTACCCACACGTTGCTGCTTGTAAATCTCCTTCTTCTTTTGTTTACTATTGTTGCTTACTGCCTTGGAGCAGGACGTAGAGACCTTCTCGTCCGGTTGTTTACGTTTCGTCATTATCTACTTATCCAAACTATGTGTATTATCTACCATCCAGTTCATTATCCGGATAAAAGTATCCTACTCTCCTCTTTTTGTACAATTACTATTTTTACATTTTATTTTGTCGGGAGAGAAAGAGTTGACAATTCGATAATTTAATAACTTGACACATCAAACGCCCATTTTGTCATTTGTCGACATTTGTTTCCATCTCAAGCAGCATGCAGTTTCTCCTGGCGCTCGTGACGTCGACATGGATGGCGTTCTTTGCGTCGCCTCCATTCGTCTCAAGTGCTAAGATTGATCCAAAGGATAAAGGTGAGCCATTATTTCCCAAGGGACATCCTAATATCACGTACTTGACCGACGAGAATTGGGATCAACATATGAAGAATAAATCGGATAAACCGTGGCTTGTGAATTTTTATCATCCCTTGTACGTAAAATAAAAAACGCCGTGTGGTAATATATAGATAGATGTTTCTATCTCGATTGAGGTTTTTTAACGTGCCAAAATAAATACCAAAATGTCCCTTTTTGGTAAAAAAAAAAACAAACAAAATTTTGAACTGACGGTAAACTATGAACAACCTATGGTTTTTTGTGTGTGTATTTGTTATATCTATGACCCAGTTGTCCACATTGTAAATTCTTTGCACCTGCTTACGTGAATCTTGCAGCGTATTACACGGAAAAGGGTAATTTATATCTCGGTGCAGTGAGTTGTATGGACCATGTAAAATGTCGTCGCGTGGAGATTACGGGCTTTCCAACGCTCATGGCAATTAATTTTGACAAAAGGTATCCAAATATGGAAAACAAGCGAATTGTTGGTACTTATACAGTGATAGAGATCAAGGAGTACGTAAACAGTGTGTTTGCTGAAGCAGATTTTAATGAGACAGGTACGTGGCCACCAGGTTACATTCCTCCACAGAACAAGACAAAGGAAAAGGAGGATGCTGCGGCGATTGATGATGCATCAAGGCCACCTCTCTGGGAAGAATCGACGCTACCAATGAATCAGACTACACGTATTCAAGATGCAGCTTCTGCCTTTGTTTTTGGACTGAAACAAGGTGCATTTATGGCAAGTGATGTCATGGATGATGAGGAATTTGATGCTCTCAAGGGGTGGTTAAAAATGGTGTCAAAGACATTTCCTGGTGCAATTAATCGTAAATTGATCACATCGCTGTACGAGAAGGTGAAGGTCAAGGAGTTGCTGGACTTTGATACGTGGGATGCAATTGTCAAGGCATGGCAGAAGGGATCTGTTGCCGCTTTTAAAGCTGAGGAAGCTCGGTATGATTATACGGGAGTTGACGTTCCCGAGTGGCAGAGGTTGAATGATTTGTTTACCGGACAAGGCGCAACGTATCGTGCATGTGCGCTGTACACGTGTGGCCAGTGGACCATGTTTCACATGCTGACTTTGAACCCGCCTGAGACAGGAGCACGAACAGGCGAACTCATGGTATCAGTGGCGGCATCAATCCGTCGTTTCGTGAAGCACTTTTTTGGTTGTGTTGACTGTCGCGATCATTTTTTGAAGGAGAACACCGTGGCGGTTGTGAAGAAGATTAAAGATACTGAGGACAAGCCGCTGGCGCTGCGTCGTTGGCTATGGGAGCAGCACAATTCTGTGAACAAACGCCTTAATCACCCGCTGTGGCCAAAGCCTGAGATTTGCCCGACATGCGGCACTGAAGGTCGTTGGGAGATGGTGGAAGTGGACAAGTGGCTAAGCCACACTTTTGGGTATCGTGATGTTGTTGTGCCTTTGGTGAAGGGTGCAGAGCAGGCTGTAGATGCTGTTCCTCCAGTGGTAGCCTTGCGTTACGAAGCTGAAGAAGAGGCAGAGGCTCCTTCGATCGCTCAAGCATCAAAAACAGAAGCCAAGGAGACTGCTGCCGTGGAAGAGTCGAAGTTGAAGACAGAAGTCAAGGAGACTGCTGCCCCGGAAGAGTCGAAGTTGAAGACAGAAGCCAAGGAGACTGCTGCCACGAAAGAGTCGAAGTTGACGACAAAAGTGCCCGTTTTACTAGAGCCTAAGGGAGGTGATGCATACCGTCCTAAGGATGCAGAGCTTGGTATCAAGAATGCAGCCAACACGAAGGAGCTTGTTGTGAACATGAAGCATGAGCTAGAGGACGGTTTGCAGGGCATCACAGCACCCCCCGTTACACTATTTGCGTGGTACATTCTTCCTGTCGCAGCCGTGGGCGGCTACTTGCTCTTTGTGCGCTACCGTGCCACGAAGCAGAAGGCATTCCGTCAGGTTCAGCGTAAGTGAGTTAGGGATGAGGTCTACGATGGAAAATGGCTAATGTGAGGCGGATGCAGATTTCAAAGGAGTTTTGAGCGTTCTTGTAAGCTGGTACGGAATGCAGAGTACATTATGCTCTGGGCATAACTCTTTTGCATGATCTTTATGGTGTTCGTATCTTCTCAAAGCGTAGCACAATGGTGGCAGTGCAAGTATATATTCACCATTGTTCTATACCAAATTCCTATCCATCTACAATGACGTAGCAAGGTGTTGACTACCTGAAATCATGATACCAAAGCCGTGTAAATCAAAAGCTACCTCTTTTGTCAACAATAACTGAACCGAAGCTACCTTGAGATCACGCACGATCTGCATCGCCATGCCAAAAATACTTTGACGAGCCATTAACTCGCCACTTATTTGCAGTAATTGTGCCGAGCCGTGCATGTAAATGAGTATGCCGTATCCATGTTGCACAACATACTGCTGAGCCCATTGTGCCTCTACACTCGCCTCAAATCCATCTTCGACTAGAAACACCGGTACATCTGTCTTGCTTTCCACATCACTAAACACTAGTGCATGATACATCTGATCATCGTGTACGAGTGACGTGTAACTGACGCTAGTAAATGCTCCTAAAGGTGTGTCAACCTTTGCGTCCTTGACCTCCATCCTCTGTACTAACGTCTCAATACGTGAGCGATACCGAATGAGATCTGAAATAGTAATCAATGGTACATGATATTTCTTGGAGAATTCCTCTAATTGTGGACGACGTAGCATTCGTCCATTCTCATCGTTCATTTCACAAATGTAGCCAATTGGCTTAACACCAGCAAGTCGGGTAAGGTCCGTTGCTGCTTCGGTATGTCCTGCACGAGTCAGGACACCACCTTTTTGAGCAACTAATGGAAAGATATGACCAGGACGATTAAAAGCAGATGGACCAAGTGTCGTATCAGCTAATGCACGAATTGTACGAGCACGATCGGCAGCTGAGACACCAGTGGAATTTCCGTCTTTCAAGTCGACTGTGATGGTGAATTTACACTTGTGCATCTCTGTATTCTTTGCAACCATTAGTGGCAATTGTAACTCTTCCATACGTTCAAATAATGCTGGAACACATACAATGCCAGTTGAATGTCGTAACATAAAGGCCACACGTTCTTCAGTTGCAAATTCAGCTGCAGCAATGAGATCGCCTTCATTTTCACGATCTTCATTGTCCATTACAATCACAAAATCTCCTTTACGAATTGTATCAAGTGCATTATTAATAGGACAAGACGTAGTGGTGGTACTGTTAGTATTATGCATCGTCATATGCTCCTTATCATTAGAAAGAGAGGAAGAAGAAGTAGTAATCGTAGTAGTAGTAGTAATCGTAGTAGTAGTAATCGTACTACTGATAGTACTCGTGGTCATACTTAGGAGAAGTAGAAAGTCGTTGACTGCCATGGACGATTATTTATATATTTTTAACCACTCGTATGTCGTATATTTCCTAAAATAGACCAATGTAATGATAAAGTTAGGATTACAAATATGGCCAATGAACGTAAGGGATTGACGGGTCTTTTTCATGGTGTCATTGGATAATAATTAGATAAAACACAAGGACATTATATTACAAGTTAATTTTGTATAAAATATCTATGTCGTCTGATTAGCTGAGTGTTTACTCTTTATTAGCAGTAAGAATTAGCAAGACACATTCAACCACAGAACGTCTATCTATATTTGCGTGGTCCACATTGTTATCAATCAACCTGTAACTGTTACATATCATAATAAAACTATGGCACGTGGTTTGCGTGTCGGGTCCAAGGCAGACGTGCTTACAAACCTTCGTTCTCTCCTTCGTGTCGCACGTACACGTGGCTCAAAGGATTCAATTCGTGATTGCAAATTCTCACAGCAAATTCTGATGCAGGTCTGGTTTGTTTTTAACTTTCTATCGCTCGTTCTCTCAATGAGCTAAGCGGCATGATAACACTGTTATGATTATTAATCTTTATGACAGTATCGAGCTCGACAGCAGGAGAATGACCGTATAAAGATGCGTGCATATCGTCTAGAAGCCAGTGACTATTTGACATTGTTACAAGGCGTTCAAGAGCAGCGTGTAGGGATAGTTTTGGAAGCAACATTGATGATGCGTCGTTGTTTGACTTGATCTTTAGGAGCTAAAGGATCGACGGATGGAAGGATGGAGTAACTAATGCTGTTGTTGTCTCTCTTTCTTTTGTAGCATTTATGGGCCTTAGATGCTGGTTTGGAGAAAACATTGTCAAGTCAGGAAATAGTCAAACGCTCAGCACGTCGTGTTGGGCTCGAAGTGCCAGAGAGCTATGCTGACAAGCAGACGGAAGACGAACGCAGGAAGGCGGCGATCAAGTATCTTGCCGAGAAACGAGCAAAGGAAGAAACGATGATGGGACAGTAAGCACTCTCTTGTTGCTAGATTGAGTTGTTTTGACCTAGTATCTGATTCATACATAGGTAGTCAACAAGGAATGCAGCTCACTCACGGGCAGTGAACACTTGACTTGAGCACATGAGGTTGACTGCATGTTGTTTTATGAAGCAATTTGTTGTAATGTGATAAGAAGAATTGAAGACTCAAGGCAATGTCGGCAAAGAACTAGCACAACCTTGGTACTGGCAACCATGGACGGTGCTTCTAAGAACTTGCATCGCCGAGATCGTCTCGGGAGGCGGTCTGCTCTGATGACAGCGTAGTGAGCACGACACGACCCTGCCGGATATCCATAATGATTAAGCGATAGTGCTTTCCTTTCTCCGAAAGAACGAGAAGTTCCGTGGGTGAAATACCACAAATGAGAGCTGCATACTCACTGGATGCAGGGTAGTTAAGTACATACACCTCATCGCCTTCTTGAAAGATCCAGTCTCGGTATAAAAACTTATTCCGGTAGAATTTAGCCACGGGAGTCACTCCACAATCTAGAAAGCAAGTAAACCTCATCAGTGACAAGTGACAGCCTTACACATTCATGATAAATGCGTACCAATATCAAAGTCCATGCGTCGCTTCTTCGTAGCCTCATACACATTCGTGAGCTCGCGCACATCGTGGTCGATTTCTGACTGACCCAACTTGTTCTCAAGCGGCTGAAAAACGTAACCTGCGCGTTTCTTGTTCTTTTGTGCGACGTCTGGTACAACCAAACCTGCTTCCAGGCCAGTTTTCGTACGAGTACTCCGGGTTTTGCGCGTCGTTGTCCGAGCTGCAAATTCAATAGGATTGTAAGCACAACAGTATCGAAAGATGAATACAGAAAAGAACCGCATACTCATGCAGTTCCTTACCGTGGCTATGGCCACCCTTACACTGATCATTGAGAATCTCCATCTCATGCTGAATCTCATCGAGCATATCCTGACGCAGCTTCTCACATTGCAAATCATACTCCGAATTGGCCTCATCACACTCATAATTGTAAATCACGGCTGTACCATGTTTGAAATACTCATACCGCTGTTTTGCCACATGCAATAGATGATCACGCTCATGGGCTGCCACTTTCAACCTCTCTACCATATCCGGATGTGTCTCATCCAGAATTTTGCGTCTTGCGTTCGTCACAAATTGTATCTGAATTTGCAATCGACGTTTTGCTTGTTCCATTAATTTCCTTGACGTCTCAGACGCGGTCTCAGCTTGTCGTCTCATGGTCTTCTTATCATTATCATCATCATCATGTGTCTTTCCATTGGCACATGCAGCATCTTTGTCTCGATCTTCCACCAATAGCTTCTTATCTTGTTGATTAAAATCCATATTAACGTCTATTGTGTTCTCCAAAGCTTCAACCAATGCAGACTCCTTGGTCCTGTTACTTCCAGCTGATGTTTGTGACGACTGTACAACTGTATTGGATGATGTAGCCATCTTGGATTGACAAGGTTGTTCCATGATAGCTGTTAACATGATTGACAAAATGTATAATAGCTCAACAAAACTTCGTTACACGTTAAGAAAATGTAGCTCTTAAGTTGCAATTAGCAACAACAAGTGATCAAAATGTGAGAGCAAAAAACGATTGAAGTTGTATGTAAGACACAGGACAACGCTTCACACTCTGAGAGACGTGTGATCGAGTAATTGCTCGCAATTTCGCAGGTTCAATCACTTTCTAATACTACAATAGTATATGTAAATGATAGATGAGATAATTGCAATTCAATGCTATTGCGTATGGTCAAAATATAAGGCACAACGTTGAATTTCAACAACCACTTGACTTGTTATTGCTACTTTGGTGTCTACTTACGAAATGCGTCGGCTTGTGAGACTTTCGATGATGTACATTTGATGTAACGATAATGTGTCATACATGTATTCACAAGTGTATTTTTAGAAATAAGAAACACCAAAGTGACTATTCTAAATTCGAATTTTAGAAGCAGTCATAGTTGATTTTCAGATCATCAGTCACCTAGGACATCTCTTCTCATGCAAACCATCAGGTCAACTCCTTTTCCATTGTTTACGTCGTAATAAATCGTTCCTTCGTACATGACCTTGTCCTTATTGCATTTACATTATTTTCCATGATAATAGACCCAACTGTCCTTTTTCCAGCCACGATTTATTCGTTTGGACACGAGAGACTGCACCATCAAAAGCTTGAAGCGTTTGTTTTCTAAATGGTCACGTAGGACGTGTTGAGCTTGGCACCAATGGTCACGGCAATGCGAGAAAACCGCAACGCACTTCGCTTCAGAACATCCGGTTTGTGCTTTTCATAAGCAGCTACGGCAGTCAACAGCTTTTCGGAAGCACCCAGTCCGGTCATATCGGGTAATACTGACTCGAAAGTTTCCTTCATTTTTGCACTTGGTCCCTGAGCAGTGACGTCAACAGCATTGACTGTCACGTTTTCAACCTTCGTGGCAGCAGGGGTGGCAACCGGTGCTGTCACTCCAGTAGCTGATGTCGTGAGACTGTTTCCAGCTGGCTTGGCATTAGTGGAAGCAACAATCTCAGGCTTTATGGTTGTAGCCTTGTCAAGCGTAGTTGGCAATGCTGTAGACTGCGGCAGCGTCGGCTGCGATACAGCTGTCGCCATACCCGTACTCTTGGACTGTTCATATTCCTCTGCTAGCTTGCACTGCACCAACTGCTGCGAGATTTTGTTGGTCATCTGCGCAAGGCGTTGAGCCTGATGCGCAAGTTTCGCCTGATGTGACGGTGTTTTGGCTCGGCTTTGCTGCATTATCAGCTCTTGCTGCTGTTCACGCAGCTTAGCATGCTGGGCCGTCAATTGTTGCTTGCGCGCCTCAGAAAGCTTGAATGTTCGGTACTGCGCAGGGGTTAACGACGCTGCTCTGTTCGATGCATTGGTTCCTCCAGGTGATAGTGAAGCTGATACGTCAATCAGAGTCTGTAAGGAAGCTCCCGCGTTAGTCGGTGACACACCCGTCCCATTGGTCGTACTTGTGGTTGCCTGATCGTCTTTCCCACTCAGTATAGTACCAGGGGTTGCCCCTACGGCCCCCGTAGCTGTCATCGCCTGCTGCGGAGCTGCTGCGTTCATGCGCATTTGGTTCTGAGCCTTTAACTGCGCCTGTTGAGCCAGCAATCGCTGCCGCTGTTGTTGCTGTAAAATAGCTTGTTGCTGAGCGTGCTGCGCCTGCAGTTGCTTCTGCTTTTGTTTGCGTTGTTGCTCCAGCATCTCTTGTTTCTTGGCAGCGGCAGCTGCTGCTGCTGCCTCCAGCTGTAGCTTCTTTTTCTGCTCCTCAAGAAGCTTGCGCTGAGCCTCCGCCTTTTGCTGCTCTTGCATCTTTTTCTGTTGTTCCTGCAGCTGCGCTAGCCGCTGTGCTTCCTGGTTTTTCTTCAGCTGCTCTTGCTGAGCCGCTGCCAAGCTATTGCTTCCGGCCGCCGCCGCAACAGCACGTGTTTTCGTTTTCAATCGTTCCAGAATGGGTAGCACTTGCTTTTGAATATGTGCCTCGACACGGTCCAAGTCATTGTTGTTGTTGCTTGTAACTTTTGACGGATCCTGCTGCAACAGCGCTATGATGCGCTTCAGGTTCACGAGAAAGGTGTTAATGCGCTCTTGCTGCTGGTTCGCTGGCTTTTGTTTTACCATGCGCTCAAACTCACGATACACGATCACCAAATCATCCCAATATTTCTCCTTTGTCTCCTTCAGCCTCTCCACGTACGTTTGGTTGCTGCCACCAGCACTTGTCGCTGTAGCCGACGCTGTCGTCGCTGCAATAGTAGGCGTTGCCAATGTTGTGGTCGCTGCAATGCCGTTGGGAAGCTGATGAGGTAATGTGTTGTCCGCGTGTATCTGGGCTGTATTTTGAGCACGTTGCATCTCTCGCATTGCTGCCTGTTGGTTGTGTGCAGCCGCAAGTTGCTCCGGTTTTACTCCACGCTGAGCAACTGGTAGTGCCGTCGCTCCTTGTGTAGTTGAGACTATCGGGGCTGCCGTCTGCACAGTTGTCGCATTAGGAAGGGACAGCGAGGACGACGTCACACCAGCTTGGGTAGCAGCCATCATAGCCGTGGAGGAAGCACTGTTTGCGGAAGCCGCAGCTGTTGTCGCTGCAACCGAACCTTGTTGTTGTTGTTGTTGCTGCTGAAGCTGATGCTGCTTCTGCATCAAATATTGCTGTTGCTTCCTCTGTAGCTGCTGTTGCTTGCTTTTATGCAGATGCTGCAGTCGGGTTCGCGCAAGTTGATGCTGCTGTTGCAACGTCTGCAGTTGCTGCCGACGCATGTCAGGGGCAACACCCTGCTGTTGCTGCTGCTGAGAAAGCTGCTGTTGCTGATTCATGTGCTGCTGTCGAAGCTGCTGCGTCTCCTGATTTTGCGTGTGCATCAGCTGACGCTGCTGGGCTTGGAACTGCACTTGAATGCGTTGCAGCCACTGCTGCGCTTGCTGCTGGGGTGGAGTCGGAATGTTTACCGTTGGTGTTGCACCAGTCGCCGTCAGACCGGCATTAGTTGCGTTCAACCCAGCGGTGACTGCTGGATTAAAACCCGTCGAGGCACCCAAGCTGTTGCTTGTAGCTAGCGCTGCGGCATTTTGCTGCTGAGCCTGAGCTTGTACTTGGACCTGAGCCTGGGCTTGAGCTTGTGCTTGTGCTTGCGCTTGCGCCTGTTGCTGAAAGTTATTGATGGCCTGACTGGCCGCTGCGTTGTTCTGCTGAAATTGCGCGTTCATGGCCGCATTCATGTTCATATTAAGCCCGCCAGTCATTCCATGGACTGCAGGGTTCATGGTGTTAGGCATTGCCACATTATTGGCCATTGCCACATTGTTTGCATTCGCCATCAAATTAGCGTCGGCGGCACCCTGCTTTTTCTTGAGACTCACAATCTTTCTCTGCATTTTCATTAAATACGAGTTCTAGGGCGTACAGAAAAGCAGTCCAAAGGGCAAATGACATTAGTAACGTCATGGTAAAATCCTACAGCACAACACGATATCACATAGTGGTGTAGCGTACCCGGTCAGGGCTGCTGGACCACAACATCAGCTCAAACTTGGCTGCCGATCCCCACACTTTCTGCTTATCCACCTCGCCTGATATACGCGCGAGCTCATGATACCTACGGTCATAATACAAACACGTTATCATCCATACTTTTTGTGCCGATTGTTCGTCTTACATAGGTCAATATCGTAGCCATAAGGGGGAAGAAGGTGCTTCAGTAGCCAGCCCTTTTTAACGCCTTTAGATGGTATTAACCCATCACTACGCTACGAACAAGAGGAGGAAAGACGTACATTTCTGTAATCATTGTCTTGCGCATATCTTCTGGAATCTCCGAGCGCCATTGACCCTCCATGGCAGTCCACCCTAGAAGCTTTACCTACTTCTCTCTTACAAAATGTGTATCTAGGACTTAGATCCTAAACTAGAGAAAGAGATGTGAGTCAGACACTGTAAAAGCAGAAGTGAGGGCTCAAGCGACACGATAGTTATCACGGAGTATTGTAATTCGTTATAATACTGCAGTGTGAAACAATCAGATTGGTAGAAATTCAAGAAAAGTAGCATTGACACGTTTTGGTAAAACGCTGTACAAACGTGCTGTTTTAACGTCTAAAAGTAAAGCAGCAGCGTTAGATTGGCTCAAACGTGACGATTTAATAACGTCTGGGTTGTAAAAATGCAGCATAATATTGGTCATATATGAGTAAAGATCATCCATAAACAACGAGTTGTCGTCATCATCAGATACAACTGTCGTGTTAACTACCATATAGATTCGATTACATGGTGATGTTTGTGTATTAATGAAGTAGAAAGTAGGAACAAGAAAGGTGAAGGAGAGCTATAATCCACTGTCATTGTTGCGGTTGTAAGAAAGAATTCATCGAGACTGCAAAAGGGAATGAAAGATCACTGTGATGATCTCATCAACGGCGTCATCATATTGATATAGCAGCCAAACATGGCTGCGGTAGCAACTCAGTCGTATATGTCGTACATCTCTGCGCTTAACGTGTTCTTGTGCAACCTTGTCGACTTGTACAGTGTTCAATACTTTGCATGTAGCACGAGCTAACGCAGCAACGCTATTCACTAATGACAACCCACGTCTACATGTGTTGCGCATTAAGTCTCCATTTCTTGCCTCCTCTCCTGTTTTGAAACTTCTTGACACTCAGTTAGCGTGTACAGCTCCTCGGTCGCAGCCATTACCTGCACCATGCTGCTCTATAGATGTGATGTCATCCACATTGAACCCCTTGTCAGTGATCAGCTTCTGCTGTTCTAGCGCATGATCCGAGGACGCGAGATAAATCGCAAACAAGAGATCGGAATCCGCATGAAGAAGAACGAAAACTTCTTGGTTCAGATCACGAGCTTCAGTGCTTGCGCAGCACAAGAAAAAGAAGTTAGCCGTCATGTCGACCTACTCTTGCTGTACACTGGCTTTCCTGCTGCTCGTGCTGATATGGAGAGGCAGCCGCTATCGCAATCCATCTACTCGTCGCACGCTTTGCTAACAATGGTCAAGCGTAGGTGGGATTTGTCAATCGTTGCACCGTTTGAAGCAAGCATAGTAGCAGCCTGGGGCATGATGTAGCGTCTCAGCATTGGTGTCAGATGGTCTTCTACGTCTCAGACGATGCAAGACGATGGCTTGAAGCTACAATGCCGACAGATACCGCAGTAGTGGTAATATCATCAACAAAGAATAACGTGTTGCTGCGCGGCATCAGTACAGCGACATACTGATTCGACTCAACATCTTTTTACAAGTTTGCTGTGCTGCATCATCGGGAAAGTCGTCAACTAGAAGTATTTGGAATCTCGTGCTGCTTGAAATGCGTTGTGAAGATGAATATTGATTGTCCTTGTCTCGTGCATGCGGAATGAACATGAAGTCACTTTGTGCTCTTGCAATCCCTGCAAGTGGCGGAATATTGAAAGCAAATGTAACACAAACAAATGACATGTTGTTTTCAACAGAGAGATATGAGAATAGTGCTACATGTTTTTAATCTTGAAATGCAACTTAGCAAGATGCATGACTATCGAAACACAGCACATACCCAAAGGGTGTAAGTCTCCAGTCGCTGAATGCCTGGATTAGAAGGAAGTACATGTAGTTGAGTATTCTACTAGTGGACCTCGCATGGCTGAAGTAGCACCCGTCCTTTACCCAGTGGAATTCCATATGAGGCCCGCCCAAGTGTGTACCCGTTCATTACACAGACTCGCCACGTACGTTGACTCAAAGCTCTGAATTTGTGGTCATGAAGCGATAATGCTCAGTGCTTTGCTTTACCAAACAAGTGCTTGTCGAAAGGATCTCAGTGCATTTTCGTTTGGTAGACTGAGTGTAATATGGCCTGAACACATTCAATGGGCACTATTTCTCTGTCAATAGTCACATGCTCTGGTTGGATAACGAGACCGTTGAAATGGCTTTTGTACAGGACACGGTCTGAACTAAGAAGGACGCAAGCATCTAGACTCCAACTTTGGTCAGACGTACTTCTCGTCAAGTTGAAGTGAACAACCAATCGAGAAAAAGACGAGATATCTCACTTTCACATGGTGAACGACCTTTGCTTGCCGCGAGTGTTGCCAGTGTATTGTTGTTAGAAAACCAGAATATACGAGATTACGCTGACAGCGTCAAGTTGAAACTGCCTCATCGATGTTAGCGATAACGACACCGCGTCGAGCTTTGTTACGCATGATAGACTAGTAGACGGTCTGAGACCGAACTGTAGCAATGACAAGTGCTGGCCCGTACGCTCTGCGACGAACCGACTTCGACTAGCTTACAACCGTGAATTTGCACTTGCTAGGACGACACAAGACAGGTGGTTTGATTTCGATATGAAGCATAAGCGGACAATGCATGCAACAAATGCGACGTTAGTGTATTCTAGAAAGAAAAGAATGTACAAGGGCTGAGTCGACTTGTGCCTCACCTCAACGAGACGCGCTACGTTCTGACGTATTTAGTTAGTTTGGACCAAGAACAACACAAATTTTACGGCATCCGAACTCTTTGAAACCGCTGGAAGAAGTAATGACTCAAAATTGCGACAAGAGGACGAGCGGTGGCGTAGCGCCTTAGCGGTGAAATAAGTTCACTGGTCGCTAAAAGTCGTTGCTACGTCGCACCAAACAATCTCGGTGCGTGGCATGGTTTTATCTGGCAAGAATTTGACGTGTTAATCTGGACCAAGTGTGGCTGCTACAACACAGGTCTTGTGTGGATGGTGTTGCTTGGTTGACCTCCTAATGCCATGTCACCACCACGAGGTGGTAACACTGAGGTAGTAGTTAGGTAAATATGTCATCTTCAGAGAACCAAATAGACTTGCATTAGTGTTGTACATCAATTTATTGTGCTGTCCGTACGCAGCTTTCCAGTCAAAGGTAGTGTTTCCTCCTACTTTTTTTGTATCGGAGCAATCAAAAAGCTTTTACGTAAGGCATTGCAAGACCAAGCGTGATTGATGAATGCATTGGTCACCTACTTTCAATAAGACCCCACTTCGGCTGTAGCTCTAGTATGCTAATGAAAACTAGTCCATAGAAAATAGCTATGTATGACTGACTATTACATTGACAATATGATACAACCTCAAACCAGCTTTTGGGTACTGCTAGCACATCGTCATCGATGCCTTGATGACCATTCAGTGAAAAGGTTTTGCTACCACCGGGAAGCTGAGCTCATTACTAAAATCTAGCTTGCTTCGTTTAAATTGATACATTCTGCTACACAACAATTCCTTGCTCCACATGGCCATTCATATCGTCTATCGTCAACAAAAAAGCCTTTCAAGCAAACTGCTACTGTTTCTCCTGAATAAATCAAGCAGGCCTGCTTTCGTAGCAGAGCGAGCCCTACTGCGCCTCTTCGCTCAATTGCCCTTCAAAAAATTCAGCGTCTGCGAAAATAGGCTAGCGTCCGACAAGTACGGCTCATATCGCTCAGCACATCCATGACAACATGGCCATTCTCGTCGCCTAGGACCACTGAGCACTTGCAACTTATGGCCACTTTTCTGAGCTTGAAGTAGCTACAATCGGGCAAGCGGAAACGGTCTTCGTTACACCGTATCTCAAGGAACGTCCGCTTATGCAGTTACGGCATTGTCAACATACTTAGCGATTGGTACATTTGTCTATAGTAGCTGTATGCAAACTGGACTCAAACTGTGGTGACTACCCAAAACGAGCAAGTATTGTTCTGGACAGCAACTTGACTGCACAAAAATTGCAGAAGCTAGTTCAGTAGAGTACGCTTGTGCTTGAGGCAGCCTCGAATATCTGTCGATACATCGTTGGTACTCTTGATGCTTTGGCAATGATCTGAAGTGGAGGTGGCTCGGCTTGCCACTGTGTTGCGTCTACGATAAGTAAGCAGCAGGAGACACGCAGAACAATTGGCGGGTCGAGAAACAGAAGCGATCATCACTATTCAATTCGCCTTCAACGTCGCGCTTCATACGAATCAAGTCCCGCCGACGAGCAGGAAAAACGCCAACCGTAACTAAACAGCCAAGCAACCACAACCATGTCGACCAATAACACCACCACCGCTGCTCCTGCTGCCTCAGACATTAATCAAGCCGTCACATTGCTCCCTACGGAGGTGCGGTGCTCGTACCCTAGCAAACTCTGCAATAACCACCGTGCCGTTAAGGACAACGGCGACTTGCACAAGCTGTGCGATTTCCATCGCAAAAAAGCTAACGTAAACCAACAACGAATGCAACAGAAGCGTCGCCTTATTCGTCAGCAAATGATGGAGCGCAAGAAACGCTTTATGGATGCAGCTCAGGCGCCAATGGAATACAATGCTGCTACGGACACAATGGAACCTAAGGAACCAATCTGTAACCTATCACACGAAGAGGTGATGATGCTTGAGGCCATGCTCTTCGACGACGAGGATGGTGAGGGCTATGGAAGCTCTGGCGACGACTCGGCATACCCAGCGGGCTATCCAATGAGCACATATCCTGCACCAGGCATGCCGTCTGGCAACATGTCCCTATAGGACATCGGCTCAAGCCGTTAATTCCATTCATTACGTTTGTCGTGCGATATCACATAGAGTAAATATAGTGCCACGACAAAGAGAAACACGTCCAAAGGCATTCTTGCTTGACTGCATAAGAGAATTTATGCTAGCATTTTCTACCTAAACAAGTGATAATAAAAGAAAGCTCATGTATATAGATGGCTTATACTAGTAGAATCAAAAGCTCGCAACGTATCCGCCACAAAACACGCATTCGATTGACATGTTCCAGACATTTCGTACTTTTTCAGGGCAGAATCCACTGCAACGTCGTTGCGGTGTCGACACGTTGCGTAACTTGCTAACTGAACTCCTGTTCAGTTAGCACACTGAAATTATAGCAAAGTGACAATACGTGAGCTGGATACTGCAGCAACATTTTGTTCATGTATATAATATGACTAGTAAGTGCTGGCCAGCTGTTCCCGATGCTCACCGAAATGTGTCGCAATTCGAGCTGAAAACATCGAAGCGTTGAATGTTGTTTACATTTGAACGTATTTGCTAGCAAGAACACGTGAGTTCCACTTTGGCCATGACTTTTTACGTTGTTGAGGACCATTCTTCTATCTAGTGTACGGAGCTCAATCCATGCGGACCCCACTGGCGCATTGAGTTTGAATGGTCCGTTTACATTGAGTTTAGTAAACTATAATTCGAAGAATGGTCCTCCTTAGGGCAGCCGTTGGATGCGGTATCTAGGTGCCAAAAAACGCTGCACATGATTTGCAATATGCGGCTGAAGTTGAAGTGCATTCAAAATGATGCACACACCCTCCTCGACTGACTATCCGTGCACTTTGCTTGATCTCACCTCATGGCGCAACTCCAACCAAGAATGTTTGTAGACGTGCCTGGAAAATTCCGGCGCTTGGAAATTCCAGTACTATATAAACCGAATAATTTGTCGATTCTGAGACATTACGGCAACTTTTGCACACTACCCCCCATATAAAATATTCGATAGCATAGCGTAGGAAGAATGTTGGTGATTACGAAGCTGTTTACTGGAGTCATGCTATTGTTACACAGCGCTTTCATTGATGGTGCAAACGCGCTTATTGCAATGACACACTTGTGCAGCTATATTGCTAAATTACCATTTACTATAGCAATTATATCAGCCATGCTTGTATTCCCGTAAGCAGTACAGCGTTACCCTCTGACGTAGTCAATTGGCGTTTTCAGCCTGCTGTATGCATCCAGATAATAATCTCACCAAGAAACGAGGAGATCGAAACGCTTATTTGTTTTCTCAACTATTCTGTAGCTATTATACTTGTCACTTTTTGTGCTTTTACCATCATTCTGATCAGGATACTGCCAGTTCCTTAACATCTGGCAACTGAAAAAAAAACGCGGCCGAATGCGTGCAAATTATTTGATCTTCATTACCATCTCAAGCGATGCGACAATGGGCGGAAGATGGGAACGACGTTATACGTCTCACTGTACAGTAGTGTGGCGCACCTGATTAACCTTTTCGACTGTATTTCCTGCGTTATGATTGGTCAGAATCAGATGACCATCACTCGTATCACACGTTTTAACCAGTCACACGCGAAAAAATTGATCTTTAGCTCAAATATTCCACTGGATCTCCAACTGCCAGTGACGTTATGCGGTTCCGCCACTTTCAGTGCTGCATCGTCTTCTCGACCATGATAAGTAGTTCAATGTTTACGGATCGTCCTTGTCCTACGTTTTTATTGACCGAGTTCATCTAGCTCATATCTTATTTTGCCATCTACTTACTACCCACCCACACCCACATACAAACTCACTCACTCAGTCACTCAGTCACTCACTTACTCAGTCAGTCAATTGATTTTACAGTAATCAAGACCATTACACTTATTTAAGAAAGTATGACAGACAAGTTTCTAGTGAACCTTACAGAGAATTCACTCATGGAGCAGGTGGATAGTAATAACAATGTCATGATGGCTGATACCGTGTCGGAGGAAATGCGTTGCCAATACTCGAGCAAACGTTGCGAGAACGAGCGCACTCACAAGAAGAGCGGCGGACTGCACAAGTTTTGCGCCATGCATCGCGAGAAGGCCAATCGCAACCAAATGCGCTTGGATCATCGACGTCGTGTGTTGAAACAGCAACAGAAGGAACAGCAGCGGAAGCAACAGGCACAGCAGATGCAGCCGATACAGGCACAGCAGCAAATGCTACGATCCCGCTGCCACTCACCCGCCGCGATGGCAGCAGGACAAAACTTCTACTTCGGCAGCAGGATGCAGCACAGTCTTGCTGGTGCCATGTGCAGTCCTGTTAGCACCAAGTTCATGTCGCCGCCTAATATGACCATTAGTATGCGTACACCGATGCAAGTGTATCCGACAATGGAGATGCAGTCGCAGCAACAACCTATTTCGAATCTCCCACTGTTTGATCAGCACGATCTGGATATATTGGAGGCAATGCTATTCAGCAGTGACGAAGAGCAGAACGATGTCACACCGACAAGTCATTGCAGCACAGCACAGTTTTTCCATACGTTGTCGATTGTTAACGTTTGAAGGCGCGGCGCCGTTGCGGTTTCTCCCGATTCAGACTTTAACCCCGGCGGCGCTAATATCGAGCACGCAAACGTGTCGGATGTAGAGTTTTTGCAATATGTAGACGCAGGCAAATGTCAATAGTAAGTAGTAATAGTAGTAGTTAGTGATGAATATTTAGTCATAGTAGTAGTAGTTATTACAGGCCAGCATAGTAAAGCAGTGGACATATCGTGAATGAATCAGTACATATATGGTAAGTATTATAGATAAAATAATAACAACCACCATGCTATTGTCTAGAGCTCTATAGCTATCGTCTTTAGTGGTACATTGTACCATATATTTATACGCTATTTTACTTTTGTTCATTTTAGTAGGATCCACTCACTATCTATCTGCCACGTCACCTTCGTTGCCATGGCTCTTCAGAGGCTTACGACATCAATTGCGCTACTCTCTCTTGGTGTGACTGCTTCAAACTGGCATGGTATACCTCTTGAATTACAGCAAAAACTCCGTGCTGCGTCGAATGTACGTGAAATGTACAAACATTCGTACAACGACCATCACTCTGTATCTGATTCCATACGATATATAATCTGATAAATGATTGTTACATGTATGTAGTTCATTTGTGACAATGGACAGCAGCGTCTAGATCTCTCGCGACTGAATGATAATTATTGTGACTGTGAGGACGGTAGTGACGAGCCTGGTACGTCAGCGTGCTCGCATACAGCCGCAGTGTTTCACTGTGTCAACGCTGGCTTTTTCTCTGCTGATATCCCGACATCACATGTCAATGACGGTGTTTGTGACTGCTGTGACGGCTCGGACGAGTACGAAAGCGGCACGTGCGCTTCGCACTGCTATGAAATGATGCAGAGCGTTGTGGCGGAGAGAAAGGATCAGATTGAACAGGTGGAGAAAGGTCTCGAGGATCGTATTGCTTTGGTTGCGAAGAGTCAGGAACTTTGGGACGAGGAGGAGAAGAAGCAGCAGCAGCTGAATGTCTCGATCGCCTCGCTGCGGGTGATGGTGGAGCAAATGGAAGCAAGGAATGAGCATGAGGAACGAGCGGAGCAAGAAGAGAAGGAGCGTCTCATTGCGGAAAGAAAGCAGGAAATCTTGATCCAGCTGGGATTACTTGATTTGACCAAGGAGCAGTTGACGTCGATCATTGTAGAGATTGGACGCGAGGGCATGTCAGCCAAGCGTGATCTGCTTCCGATTATTCGCAGCGAGCGCAAAAGGACTGCTGATGGAGGGAAAGAGCTGTCCAGTACACCGATGGACGAGCAAGACAAGGCTTTCCAAGAGCGTGACGATGCTCGTCAGAAGGAGACACGTCGCATTCAGGCGTTGATTGAAGAGCGGGAGAAAGAGAAGGAGAAGAAGGCTCAAGAGAAAGCGGAAGAAGAAGAAGATGACGATGAAACGCCCGAGGACATTGCTGAACATGTTGAAATAACATTGGAGCATGAAACTGAAGCGGAGGATGTTAATGAAGCGCAAGATCCTGAGGAAGAAGACTTGACGCTTCCCAAAGTAGAGACTCATCCTGTAGATCTCTTGTATGACGAGCTGGCAGCCAGCGAGCGTTACGAACGAAGTCAAGCTGTGTTGACCCGGAAGCAACTTGAAGATACAAAGAAAGAGCTCAAGGAGGAGGAAAAAAAGCTAGTTGAGGCGCAAAGACTGATGGACAAGGATTACGGTGTGGACAATGTGTTTTTCGGACTGCGCGACAAGTGCGTAGAATCGGACGCAGGTCAATACAAATACAAGGTCTGCTTTTTCGGTACAGCGACCCAAGATTTTGTCAAGCTGGGCGATATGGAGGAGATCAATGGCTCCAAGGTGTCAGATAGTGAGAAATCTGGTGAGAGCTCTTCTCACTCATCCGAAGACCTTGCAGCAACTGGAACAATTGTGAAAGAAATTAAATTTTTGAACGGTCACGCGTGCTGGAATGGTCCGACGCGATCGCTGACAGTGAAACTGGAATGTGGTCCGGATCCAATGGAGCTCTATGACATTGAAGAGCCTAGTATGTGCGTGTACACAGCAAAGTTGCGCACACCGGCTGTATGTAGTGAGGACGATCGTGAACAGATTCTGACGTTTATTGACGCGCGGATTGCACCTCATTACATCGAGATTGAGGTTCCGCCCACGCTGTAAAAGGGTTTACAAGCACGCTAAGGTGGGTCAAGTGATTAGCTTTTCAAAGAAAAGCGGATACACTGGATACACGAATCCAGATAAAAACGAAATACACGGATTTAGCATGGGGTTTGTTTCATCTTTTGTAGTCGAGTTGATTCATAACGTATAGCCGGATATGTACTATCACAAGTCTAAATGTTTTACGTAGTATAGCAATCATTCTTGCTTTTCACGTTGAATGTTGTATGAAGGTAGAGCTACCACCGTCACAGGAATTGCTCGTAACCATAGACTTAAGACAAAACTTTGACAGCCGGACGATCAATGAAGCATCGTGTGGCCTTTCGTAAGCTTAACCGCACATCATCTCATCGTCAAGCAATGCTGCGGTACGTTCTTATCCTCATATCGTTGTTCTAATGTCTGTTGTAGTCTCTATTACATTCGATCTCAGTCGTTTTTAATGCAGTACAATGGTCACGCAGCTCATTGAACACGAGCGTATACGTACAACATTACCAAAGGCAAAGGAATTGCGTCGTATTGCTGATCAGGTCGTGACTATGGCCAAACAAGGCGATGAACCTGCTCGCAAACGTGCTCAGAGCGTCCTGCGCACACCCGAAGCTATTACCAAGCTTTTTGACGTTGTTGGGCCTCGATATGCGTGCGTACTGATGGTTCTTGGAAGCTTATTATGGAGCAATGAGGTGTAATACATTGTATTGCTGTATAGATTGCGTGAAGGCGGTTATACACGTATTCTTAAGGCAGATTTCCGCAAAGGTGACGGCGCTGAAATGGCTATTATTGAATATGTGGATCGGTACGGTAAAGTTACTGAGAATCTGGCAAGAGACAATAATGACAAAGGATTGCAATTGTTGATTGATTCGTTGGGCAGGCCTGGTGAGATGCGCAAGGCCAAGCCACCGACAGGTATCGAAGCCGCTCGTGCCGCTTTTGACGTTCAGGCTGAGACTATGCAGTAAGCTGTCTGCATATGAGGAAGGCAGCTGACGGAGATTTCTAGTGTTGCTGCACTGCGTTTCGTGTTGTGGGTCCAAGCCGACAAGCCACCTGACGCTTAGAAAGAGCGATCGCTTGTCTTCTTCCAACAGTCAACAGAAGAGCTTGTCCTATGCCTTGACTCCTTTCATCAGTCCCTGCTGTTGTGTTGTATCCTCTTCCGATTCAAGTTCACCTCCTTCCAGATGAGCCAGTCGATCATCTACTGTCACCATAAGCACTTTAACCTTCTCCATCTCCTCACGTAGTCGTATGATCTCGTTTCGATCCACTGCCAACTTTATCATGTCCATATGACATGCTGCTGCAGCTTGCAACATGGTCGGATCTGCTATATCTTGAGCCTGTTGCATTGGTTCTCCAAGTGTATATGACGTGATTGCCTCGGTCGAAAAACTAAACAAATCTCGAATCCCGTCTAGCACCACTGGTGTTGTTAAATACTTGCGTCCGAGGACAGCCTGACAATTATGACACAGTAATTCATAGTATGAACTGCCAGTATCTAGACCCGTATTAGCTGTTTGAACTTCCGAGCCCAATGCGACGTTAGTCACGTGACTTAATGTTACAAGCCATAGCTCTTCCGTAGAGCACACAAAGGCGTAGGAATCGCCAAAAATTGATCGACAGGTGCTACACTGGAAAACAACAAGAGGCATGGAATCTTCTTCCATCTCTTGGCTCTGCATTTCATCCATCTGTGGCTCCATTGCTTCCTCCTCTTCTTCCTCTTCTTCTTCTTCAATCGCTTCAGATTCTGGATTTACAGTCACTTCATGTCGTTGGAATACGTGGTCTTTTGTATGAGTTTTACTGTTACTTGAAGTAACATTTACTGCCGTCTGAGGTGTTACAAGAATTCGAGCTTTCTTATAAGATTGAGTGTGGGCCACATGGATTGAAGTTCTCTCACGTCCAGCGTGGTGGTGTCGTTTACGAGGAGGACTATTCATTGATACAATCAATGGCTTGGAATATGCTTTTCGTGAAATTTCGTTAGAAATAAAGTAGAAATCGCTGATTTGTAATGTAATATTTGCTCAATGTTAATGTTTGCAATGGTCACCCCTTTTTACACGTGGAATTACGACAATGAAGAGGTAATAAAGCTTGACAATACGCCATTCACGAGCAAAATAAAGCAAAGGTGTTCGTGACGACATGTTTACTTCTCATTGCTACATTCCGCTTGCTCAGTCTCGTGCTTATCAGATTGTTCTTACCTTGAGCATATCTTCAATAAAGACTTGCGATATCTCAATATATCAGCGCCAACTGCTGCCTTCCTCCATCATTTTTTGCTGCCGACCTTGTTGTTGTAATGTGGAGCTGTTGCCGCTGCTGTTGTCCCATGTATTTCATGCCCGATCCCATGCTGTTGTACAAGATGTGACCCATGACCCGTACTTAAAAGAACGTCTGCGTGCCATTGCCATTGTTGCGAAAGGAAGCATATTGAGGATGGAGATCGGCAAACCACGGATGTGACATTGCAGCACGTGCTGAGATGCGGCTACTAGGGTCATACACGAGCAGACGCTGCATGTAAAAGAGCAAGAAATGGTTAGCAAAGCCACAAAATAAACGAACAATGCTTTGGAGCAATCGAACGCACCGAGAGCAGGTCTGCACCGACACGGTCTAACTGAGGCACAACCTTCGATAGGGACTGAGGGCGCCACTGAGGGAACGACGTTTTATAATCTGGTAACGTCGATACACCTGGCCACAATACCTCATTGGGCGTACCCAAAACACGAAAAATACGAAACAGTTCATCAATCTCCGAGTCACCAGGAAACAGTGGCTGCTTGTTGACCATTTCTGCAAAAATACAGCCAATTGACCATGAGTCGACTGGCGTGGAATAATGTTTTGCACCAAGTAGCACTTCCGGCGCTCGGTACCACAATGTCACAACCTCATGCGTATAACGTCGCAATGGAACGCCGTATTCTCTCGCTAGTCCAAAATCTCCCAGCTTGAGGTTTCCATATTGATCAATCAGTAAATTCTGCGGTTTGAGATCGCGATGTAACACTCGATTCGCGTGACAAAAGGCGATACCAGCTAGTAGCTGATACAAATAGCTCTTGATTTGAAAAACTTCCATTCTAGCAGGAAGTTTTTCTAAACAGCGCTTTAGATCTTGTTCGACAAACTCAAAGACCAAGTAGAGTTTATTCTTCTGGTAGATTGCATCATACAGATACACGACATTTGGATGCGAGGATAGTTCCTTGAGGAGCGATATTTCACGCATGGCAGTAGACGGAATACCTTCTTCATCTGGTTCCAGGCGAATTTTCTTGAGAGCAACAATGCGTCCGGTCGTGAGTTCTCTTGCCTTGTATACAATCCCGTACGTGCCTTCACCTACTTTCTCCACCTTTTGATAATTCTCCATGATGTTTCGGCTTTCGAACGTACAAGAAAGAAGAATGGAAGGATGTTATTATATAGCGGTCAGAGTCTTGAGACGCGGACGAGGCCGCAAACTAGTCAAAAATGACTTGGATTCAGTATGTAATCGACCAGGAATCAGATTTGTAAATGATAAGTTACAATATGTTTGCTTCCATCGTATAAACTAACTGATAATTCAATTCAAGGAATCTAGCACTTCAGATATATTTCGTTATCATCTAGAAATATCTATTTTACCATCAAATGAGAGAGTTGTCAAATATCGCCTACATTGACGTGTACCACATCAATCTCCGAATTTCCTAATGGGTCCATATCTAACGAACACCATTAGCCAATCAAGCCAGCTTGTTCCACGTAAACACTACCACCACCACCACCAATCAATTAATTAGTAAACACAATGGTCAACGCCGCTGCTGACGCCAAGAAGAAGTACATCTTATCATTCAAATCCCATGTTTCTACCTCCTTTATGACGTATTGAATTCACTTTCTTATCTCTTTTTATTCGTGTCATTTTCTCTCGTGTTTAGCGAAGGAAATGAAGCTTTTAAGAATCACGACTATTCGACTGCTGTAGCGAAATACACTGAGGCGATTAAGCTCGATCCGTTGAATCACGTTTATTACTCAAACCGCAGGTATGTATGTCTATATGTATCGTAGTAAAGTAGAGTAGATTCATCTTGTTTTTCTGTCTTGTCTTCTCTCTTTCTCTCGTTGCTAACGTTTTAATCTCTTTCTTTTTTCTAATGTTTTCTAGTGCTGCTAATGCTGGTTGGGGTAAATATCAACAGGCTGCAGATGATGCCGCTGAGTGTATCCGTATAAATCCTCAATTTGTTAAAGGTTCGTGACGTTATTTGAATTGTTAGGATGCATCATACATTACAGTAAAGCTAATAAACGATATGATGATGTTATGATGTACAGGTTACCACCGTCATGGTGTAGCACTTAAGGGATTGAACAAGTATGATGAAGCTCTGGCTACTTTACGTGCGGGTCAGCGCATCGACTTTAATAATGCTGATTTGAGCCGTCTCGTGAAGGAAATTGAGCCATTGCAAGCGCATGCTGAACAGGCCAGACGCTCAGGTATGAGCTCGGCTGAGCTGTTGAAGGAGCGCGGTAACGATGCATTCAAGAGTGCTGCGTTTGAGAAAGCCATTAAACTGTACGGCGAGGCTATTGAAGCGTGCAGCGATAAGCCCGGGTCAGATTTGTCGTTGTCGTGCTACAACAACCGTGCGGCTTGCAACCAGCAGCTCAGCAACTTCTCGGCTGTCATTCGTGACTGCTCCTACGTGCTGGAGTATGATGAAAAGAACCAAAAGGCTCTTCTACGACGTGCTCTGGCCTACGAAGGTCTGGAGCGTTACCGTCTTGCGTTGCAAGATATCCGTGCGCTGCTTGCTATCAATCCATCCATTGATGTACGTTTGGGTTTGGCTAATGTTATCAAAGCTAGCTTTGTACTCACTTTGATTGTTGTGCCATGTGTCTCAATTCCCATGAGCAGATTGCTAACAAGGCCCAGCACCGACTCAGCAACTATGTGCGCCAGCTGAAGCAGAACAACTGATTGCATTGAGCAGGACAAGTCGTCAGCACAACGAACAAAGCATGGCTTACGAGTGAATTAGATTTGTTGGATTCCTCATGCGTCGTGACTGAAGTAACTGCGACGAAGAAGTAGCGTCAATGGCCAGCAGGGGAAAGCTTGTCATTTAAGCACAAGAACGAAGATGGGTAACAGGTAGACGGTTAAAACTTCTCTATCATGTTATTGATGTTGTTCTCCATTGCCTTAGCTGAACAAACAGAGTGATTGTGGACGAAGAAGACCTGACCCAATATTCTAGCGCCTTTGGGTCATGTTAGAAAGCTTTGTCACACTTGAGACTAGCGAAATATGCTCATGAAGTGCTTTCTAAACGTTTTGAAAACAATCAAGCGAAAGAGTTTCTGCGCATCATGGCAAAGCATTAAACCCAGTAAACAGCCTGCTGCACCTGTCATTTAGACTCGTTTATTTCATACACAGGTGCGAAATGATTACAATAACTTGTGATAAGGCTTATAGTTACTTTGGTATTTATTCCATGTAACAAACATTGCAAAATCAATCGTTATTGGAACAAAGTAGCACAAAAATGTATTTTTTTGAAATGATATTTACAGAATAATTTTTTCCCTCCCGATTGTAATACAATTAATTATTCCTATATCGAATCCTACCAAAATAACTGACCAGTAAAAAACTAATTTAGACCTGATCCGATTGTTTTTAAAAATACATTTCAAAGATTTTCAATCAATAAATTTCTTACATTTCGTAAGTAAAGTATCTCGACCCTAATACAAATAATGACAAGTTCTGGGGATATTTGTAGCTTCTTCTTTGAGCCCGTATATGATGCAAATATTCCACATATAGCGATCACCTCGTCATCATCTGAACCTTCTTCACCTTGTACTAAATCATCTCTTGAAAAACGAGGTCGTAAAAAGCGTGTTTCACTTGGCGGTGCTAATCGTCATTGTTGTAAACTGTGTCATAATGTGTACACACAAGCAGTTAGTACCGGATACACAAATTTGCTGACTCATTTGCGTATTAAACATCCAGATTGGGAAGAAATGTTTAAAACGCAGCTGCTTGTACCACTCACCCCTTCTACACCAAAAGGGAAAAATGTCACAGGATCTCCTGTCCGTATACATTCAAGTACGTTATCAAGTTTGATTACGTCCTCGAAAACTTCAAGTACTGAGAATCTCGTCAAGACAAAACAAATGGCCGGTCGTAAACGTGGTCCTGTCTACGAACATTTTCAAGACATTCAATCCATTTCGGACACAAATCGACAAAAAAAAATGCGCTGTTTATATTGTCAAGAAGAGACGCCACAATCAAGTGGACGTTTAAAACTGCATTTGTCTTGTAAATGTCCAAAAGTACCAGTTGATATCAAGACGAAATATGCGGAGTCGACTGGAGTTATGTCGTGTAAAGTGGAAGACGTTAACAAGGTGGAGGAGAAGGAGAAGAAGACAGTGCCTGTCATTCCTGCTGTACCTGAGACTTCGATGGCTACGTCTAAATCACCATCACTAGCACCAGCAGCAACAGCAATAGCCAAGTTGTCTACTGTTACGATTGAACAACAGCCAGCGACGATGAAGAAATTGTCACCAGCACCAACTTTCAAGCCACTGAAGCGTAATGGTATTAATTTTCGAGCATTTGAAGAACAATTGACGATTGCTATGATCACTACAAATGCTCCGTGGGGGTTGCTCGACCATACGAACTTCCGTGCTGCCATGGAGATCTTACATCCGACGTCGGATGAGTTTCCACTGACATCAGCTCGTGCACGTACTGAAGTATTAAATCGATTGTCTCTGAAGTACGATCGTGAGTGCAACAATGTCTTGGCTACTTCGAATGCCGTTACACTGGTGGTCAATAACACGGACGGTAGCGCGAAAGGGGCAAAAAAGGCGACGTATATTGCGTTTGACGAGTGGCGACGTGCATTTGTGTTGGCAGAGGGTAGCGAGGTGTTAACAGCACCTTGTGTGACTGAGATACCATCTGTGTTGTCCAATCTCCAGGTAGTGAGTCCCAACTCGACTCTGTTCTTGAGCACCCCGACGTCCGGAGCTTATGCACGCGCACGTCAAGAGTTGCTTCGAAATGCCGATGCAATTGACAACCCTGTTGTTCTTATGGGAGCATGCATGACTCAGCAGACAGCGCTGCTAGTTCATGAAGTGTTATTGTGCAGCTTATCGCTAGAAGAAGCTCTTGACAATGCTGTACTGACTGCAGATGCTCTACACGTAATGCCTTCGTTGCGTCAGCACGTTCTTTGTGGTGTTTACACGGATAACAGCGCTATTAATGAAGACATCAACGCGTTTGCACAAGTATACGTGACAAGTTGGCGCTCTATTGCAATGGCAGTAAAGCAGGCTGCTTTTCTAGAGCCACTTCTACGCATGGCAGTTTTCAAAGAAGAGGTCAACTCCTCCTCTTTGTCGATACTGCGCCAATTAATGGATGTGTGTAGCAGTGACATGGCCTGGAAAACATTACGACACACCGCTCAGCTGCTAGTGCCGCTGCATTTTATATCGGCCCTGACTGAGATGCAAACGACAACGTCAGGCCAGCTGCTGGCACTGTGGATATGGCTTCTTGGCGCATCAATGCGCTCACCACTTTTTGATGGGAACTCTGACACCTTAACTGCAAGTTTTATGCAGCGTTTGGATTGCTACGTGGAAGAGCACTTTGTGGCTTGTTTGGTTCTAGATCCACGTGTGCATGGAGCTGGCTTGAGTGTGTCAGGACTGCGTCGGGCTCGCGGTGTTACTGTTCGTGTCGCCACTGCGCTGATATCCAACTTGAACGAGAATAAATTTATTCGATCGTACAATGACTACATGAAGCAGCAAGGGGACTTTGGTGAAGCGGGTGTGTGGAACGCCGCCAATACGTCCAATCCAATGGAGTTTTGGGGCGATTACGAAGGTGACCCGCTTCACAATCAACTTGCTATTGTAGCCAAGACTTTGTGCTCCTTTGTGCCACATACTTGCTCGATTGAAGAATTGTGGTCAGCTCACGCACAACCAAGTACAAAAGAAGCAAGTGGTGAAGTGTCGAAAGAGCGCGAAAAATGCACAAAAATTCGGCGTGGTGCTGCTCTCAGTGCTCGGGTGAATGTAAAAGATGTGGTGAACAGATTTCAGATGCTTCTTGATGTGGAGAAGAAGACTACAGTTGAAGAAATGTTGCAGTCAAATGCCATTACACCGGCACCGGACGGACAGGAGAATAATCGTAATCTGTCAGTACGTTCGGTCTTGGAAAGCATTCAAGATGGTATAAATGAGGACGCTAGAGGATCCGACGCATCATCAATAGCTTTGGATACTTCTTGGTTCGACGTCAGCTCATCTGGACTGGATAAGATTCGACACATGATGGAAAAGTACTTGAATGTCCTTATCCAGCAATAGCTCTGATAAGGACATTTGAGTAGTCGGGAGATATATACTACTAGTCATCGTTGTTGGCAGAAATGCGGTTTGTACAGTGTAACTGTAAGACTTAATATCTTGTCAGAGATTTTATAGCGTCATCGGGTTAATTGTGTATAGCTGGATAAAAATCTGGTGCACATTGGGTTTTAGTAGTTACATTCTGCCAATTCGTTCAAAATACTGGGCCACAAAAAAGGTTTAATTTACGTGCTAAGGATATTAACATCAAACCGGTACAATGCAATTTATCTCATGTAAATTACTGTACCTTGCTCGTCAAAGCTGTATTTTATCTGTGTACCCACCGTAATGCTGCTGTATTCGACAACATGATAACATCGTTCCTTAGTGTATTCACCTTGAAGCTTGTCTCCTTCAGACTACGCATTGTCATTTCCCTCCTTCTTTTTATTGGCACACACCTGCATGGCTTTAGCTCATCTCCCCATGACGAGCTGGATGGTACATATGTTAGGACGTGATGTCTCACACGATAGCATGCGCCATAAGCTCTTACAATCTGTTGTCGCTTGCACCGTTTCCCAGCGGTCCTACTGTCGATTCCAAATCGTTATTCGATACCAGGTGCTCTTGCATTCCATTCTTTGCCATTGTCTCAACATGTTCGTCATCCAGGGCACGATAGACTACGGCTTGATAATTGGTCTAGATTGACGAGCACACTCGAAAATGTCTTGATGTGTCGCAATCGTTTGAGCTGCATGACAGACAGCGTGACTGTAGGTTGTATGATGTACTCTTGTTTTTCAAGATAAAGTGTGACCCTGTAGAGTTTCTCAGATATCGAATCGTATTGTAGCATCGTTGTAGCCTGGAACACGCTATAACAAGGCTATTGCGTAAGCTATGAGGCACAGCATCGTCAAATGGAAAATCGCACGCATCCTGATCAGAACCGCTACTTACAAATTGGTCACACGGTCAACCCATTTCTACAATGCGACGCTCGAAGCGTACTACGTCGTGAGGCAGTAGATGCTTGCACTGAAAATTGCCGCGAACCTGGATGTTGGGTAATAGATAGCTGAACTCGTCAGCTATGTGGCGCCTGTGCTTGACAGGAGCAGCGTATGCGCGACGTCAGTAAGACATGATATCCATGGTGTGCATATAAACACTATAGCAACATCTTTACAACAAACATGAATGAGACCAATGATATTACTGTATTGTGCATGCTACTGATGCACCTCACGTGTTACAACAAGCTATGTCCGAACGAGCAACCTCACATGCGCAGCGACTCACTGCACAAGCTCTGTCAACATATAGACTCAGGGACAACAAGAATCCAGACGACATGCCAAAGCTGTTTATGCGAGCAGAGTCAAAAAGAATGCAGGACAAGTAGATTTTGTAGCCTTACATGCAGCCCAGCAACGAGAACTCAACGAGTCAAGAACTACTCTGAAAGCTCAGTGTTAATCTTCCGCTTGAATTTCGCCACCGATGACTCGACTCGACTTGACGTGTGAACGTGTGAAACATCTTTGCCTGTTGATTGACTCGAACCCTTAAGATATGGTGGTCTTGCCGTACATAGCTATAGCAAATCTCAATTGTATCGCTTTACGAAGATCTGGTATGGTTTGACGGCCAGCACGTACGAAAGCAAGAGCGATTCAAGCTTGCTGCTACTCCAGCTGGTGACACTGACGCCAGACAACACCACGCAAGGCATCAATAAGAATGTACGTAGTAATGCATATAAAAGCAGCAAGTTTCTCCCTATACCAAAGATTGATGATCGAGTATTTCTTCCATGCACAAAGAAGAACCCACAGCACAAACGCAGCGTTTCCAGTGAAATTAATCTTGTATTTACTATGGTATATTTCTTCACCACATGCAGTAGTTCACGTTGTACATAGTTTTCTCCATCCATGTATTGTATCCCTGTCGACTCTAGAGCATAACTGGCCAGGGACCATCAGATACGGGCTCCAACGCCATTGACGGTGTTGTGGGCGACACGGGGTACAAAAAGCAATCCTCGTCCTTCATTAACAGCTGAGGTGATTGCCTTATAGCTCCGCACTCGGACCCGAAGAGTAACACTTCCAAGATCTTGACCTCTAGCTGATCGAAGCTGTTGTGAAACGTGAATCCGTCAATTGGTTCTGTCGTGCCCTGTAGACTTGCGGAACCGAGACGTACTCGCTTTATGATGTGACCGTCATTAGGGAACCGAGGAGAGAGATGCAGTCTGTTGCTCGAGAATACGCTTCTTGCGCTTGTGTAGTCGTTGCTGGTTGGCATTTGCCTTTCGTCGATGAAAGTCACAGAGTTTGTGCAATGTACCATCAAGTTTCGTAGCACGTGGGGCATTGCAAAACTTGCTGCGATAAGCGCATTGCATCTCTCGAGACAACATGATCAAGGAGAGTGTGGGTGGACCGCTACGTTGAGATGTTTGGACTAGATGAGATTTTCTAGAATGACAGCCATTGGGACAAAAACTGCCACAGCCGCCGAGTACTATTCAGGAGACAGGGCAGGATCAAGACTTGAGTCAACTCTTGACGACCGTCGTGGTGTGGTCAGCAGAAGTCTGTTGGCTAAAGATGTACTCGAGATCGTTTTCTATTGAGATGAGCACTATTCATATGGATTCTAGTATAGTGATGGTGAAGATCTTGGGTGGAGTCAGCAAAGGCGAACAGAGCCACGCGCAAGTCGGCCAGCAACTGGATTGTGCTCGCCTCTTGCCTCGCCCTACTTGTCTGTCGCTGTACCGCCGTCCTATCGGGTCCCTGCTCTGGTGACTAAATGGGAAGGTTGCGTCAGCGTACCCAGCCGAGCCTTGGCAAAAAAAACTGTCGCCTTGCTGCAGACACCTTAAGTGAATGCAATTGACTGGTGCTGACCGAAGCGCCACGAACATATTCCTTTAGCTGAACGAGCGTACGTCGTTGCAAGATCCTCAATAATAATGGGTATCCTATAGCTAGCTATCGTACAGTAACTTTGTCGCGATTATGATCACGGAAGAGACGTCGAGTCATCATTGAACAAGTTTGGAATAGAACGTAACGTTGAAGCACCGCTTTGTTTTTCACGACTGCACGTAAGGTCGCCCCTGGATATTGAACTCTCTTACCACGTTGAAGTTTGCCTATTTGCTGTGTGATTGTAGCTAAGAAGCATAAGACACAGGACGTCACACTACGTTGCTACAACTCGGACGAGAGTTTACCCAAACGAAGTGAGGAGGAAGTCAGCGGGCACGACGGTGTGGTGCAAAAAGAACATCAAGACACAGGTTAAACTTCGACTAAATCGGCACGGAGATTGTTCAACACGCATGAGCAAAGTACATTGAATACTATTTGTCAAAGACGTCAACTTTGCTTAGCAATTAAATTACTGCAGCAGAAATCTCTCGCTAGATCTTTGTTGTAGCTTAGCTTAGCGGACTAAACTTGATTTTACTATTTATCACCTCAATGCGACTAGTTTTCAACATACACCGTGATTAGCTTTTACTTCAGCAGGTTGACAACGTTTCAAGCTGCACGTTAAGCAGCATCAAGTTGAGAATACATGGTAGTCAAGCCAATCATCGAGATCACAAGGTGATTGGCACTCGCACGCGGTAGCCCTACCTTGCACTTTTCGTGTAGAATCTGCTGTCGTTCCGGTATCATACAAGTGCGTCTTCTTAACTTTTTTGGAGCGTTCTATAGCATTGTCGCTTGCGCAATCGGTACTGTGCACAGACGCTTGACGACGTTGAAACTCACGAACATCGTGGAGCGATGGCATTTTGAACCATGGGGTGGAGTGATGGCATTTTGAACCATGTGGTGGAGCGATGGCATTTTGAACCATGTGGGTTCGTATTCTCACTGCAGCAGCATGTCAAAACGTCGTCGAACAAGGTGAGTCTTGTGGACCAGCAATAGTTGAGAACAGATCGTGTCGTAGCAGCATGACAAGTTTCTGTAATATTACTGCTTAATGTTCTTGTTCAGCAAAGTGATTGATTCAATCAACAAGAGAGCAAGATCAAAACATGCTGGTAAATACTACCAAAGGATGTCCTCAGTCTCTTGTCATTGCTCGACGCACAGAAATAGTGGAACTTGCTGTTACTAACACGACAAGCTCTTATAACAATCATTCTAACAAATGCCTGTCACATTCGCAGTCACGTCAGGAAGAGTCGTGTCTATCCCATAGCGTTTGAGGAAGAGCAATGACACCCTTGCGCAACGGTGGCAGTACTGAGTTCGAGACAACAGAGCAAATATTCGTAGCAAAGCGAGGGCGGCACGCACCCTAGTACGACAAGATAACTAGTACGACGAGATAACTAGGACGACGAGATAACTTTTGATATCTTCGCAACGTATGCAATGTAATATCGATGTGGCAACCACCGCGCATGGCCGCATAGGGGATACCTTGAAGTAGCTACTCCCTTGACTTGTACTACATTAGTCGGACGGAGACAATCGTGCCTAATCTGTCATGTCACCCTCGCGTGACGCAACAGTAGGTCGTATAGGCATGAGTTTCAATAGCACTAGCTTAATTATCATGCTGTGCTACAAATTGGCACATCTTACTGCAATGATTCGAAAGACAAGCACAATAAACGCATGATGTTTTCCCTCATCATCAACGTTTTGCACGCTACAGCAAGAATGTGCAAGGTGTTAGACTACAAGCTGCTTTCATACACCGAACACAGCCACAAGATAGTTCTACGCAGCGACAAGATCATCTGCATGCAGGAAAAGCACAGTCGTGTGACAAAAGTGAGCGCAAGAGAGCATTTTGACACACAGAGCGGACTGTGTCTAGCCAAGATATTCAACATTTGGGCGGAAGACTGCCGTAATCGCATCGATTCAAACTTGCGCGTTCAGGTTGCACATAACGCTAGCAGTGGCAATCCAACGCGACCACATGACTTTGCCTTGTCCGTTTCAAGAAATTGTCTGCGCACCTGGCACGAATATAAGAACATGCATGCGACGAAGAAAGCTGCAGGATTTGAGAGCAAGTGGTCTTCCTTCGTTCATACATTCCAGGCAATTGACCTATCTCTGCCGGCGGATCGTTAACGGATGCCTGCCACGTTCGAAACACAGTCACTCGCGAGTTTGATAAAGACAGCCAAACAAATGTTCACAAGTGAAAAGCCAAAGGATCATTCGATATGTCTGCATTGCTCGGCTTGTCATGATGCTGCAATCTATATCGGGCACTACGTTTGGAGATGACTGGCAATTTCTAATTGACAAGTTCAGCGGTCTTTTGATCAGATCAACGCCCATGTCAGCCGATACATTTCAGCCAGCAACAAGTAACAACTCATAAACGATCTTGAAATAGCGTTGAATGCAGCTAGAACAGGTACAAGACGGGATAAGATAGACATGACTTCGACTCACACTGCACTAAATTGGGTAAGATGGTGGTGAAATGGCTAAGAATAACCTGTTCGTTACTATCTTGAGTTTGTCCGTCAAGCACAACGATGGATGTCAACGTCAAAAGTTATCTGGCACCTTTGTCAACAGCTCATTTACATTGTAGACGTGAACCATTATTGATGAAATCAGCGGCGATGCAGGATTTAGATTCGGATCTGTTTAACTTTGACACGTTCTTCACCTCGAACAATGACGAAGCAGTGGATGGTCAGTGATGCCGTTCATCATGATGTACTTGGATGTTACATGTTCAAGGTTTTAACATATTTTTTGTTGTGTTTTCAAGGCTTATGGGGTCTATCAGCGACTCCCGATGTTTGCCACGATGGTGACATCTTCGACGACACTGAGCTAGAGCCTCTTAGTTCAACGAAAGAGGATATAAAGCAAGAACAAGCACAAGTGAAGCAGGTGGAACCTACAAATAAGTTTGGACTGAAGATTGACCCGAAGCTCAATACCAGCTCTAGGGAAAGATGGCTATCACAGTCTGACAATGTTAAGACGAACGGTACCCCTACATCTACGCTACCGGCACGTTTTGCGTTGCTTTCCACAACATGCGTGTACGAACCTGGATTCACGACATCGCCACGAGGGAAGCGCCGCATTAGTCAAATTCATGTTGCACAAAGTATTGTTGATCCACAAAACGAAGACGAAGATAGAGATGAAGATGAAAACGAAAGTGAAGATGAAGACGGAAATGGAAATGAAAGTGCAGATGGAGACGGTAACGAAGTAGCTGGCGGTGGTAACGAAGCAACTGACAGTTGTGTTGAAGTATCCGACGGTGGCAATGAAGTAGCGGACGGTGGAAATGGAGCACCTGACGGTGGTGTTGAATTAGTGGATGATGGCGATGATGAACCTTTCATGCTTTTGGGAGTGGAAGACTACAATTTGCCCGTGTTTACCGATGCTGAATTATCAGCGATGGTGGAGTCATCTTTGGAGGCGACTTCGGCCTCAGTTTCTTCTGCGGTCTCATCTTTGCCACTTGGACTTACTCATGGATCGACGAAGTAGGCGGCAACTCGATTATCCGGGATGCTACAAACACGCTGCCAATTGGTGTAGGGGCGAGTGGTGGGGCTGATCATGTTAATCTGGACGTTAACAACATGTTCAACTCGATCTCCGGCAGTTCACACAACTTTCCGGAGGCACAACAACAAATTGTTGATCTTACAGGCTCTGCAAGCAGCAGTACTGTAATGGCACCATGCATTGTAACTGCGCCCAGTCAGGCCATGTTTGTTACTGATCCGGGTATGCCGTTCAATGCAAGCTCTGTCATGCCTGTATCAATAGCACCAAACGATTATGCTCCTTCTGGCGGAATCCCCTACGACTACTTTTCACCCTCAGGCTACGCTGCTGCGGCAAATCAGTCTTTGGAAAGCTACCAGCAACAAGTACAGCCATTTGTCATGCAGCCCGACGCAGCGCTTTTCCATGGCCAGCAGGCCGAGACAAATGATACCAATGTGCAGATCGCAGCAGCCGTGGCAATGGCAAACTCAGCAGACATAAACACGATGCACAGAATGAATGGCAACTATGGTGTGTCCATTGCTCCATTGCAGCATCGAGCTGGTTCTATGTTTTCTACTGCACAAGTCAATGTAGCAGGACCACTAAAACTACCATTGCCTGCTCAGCGCGCTAATTGTGCAACTTCTGCGTCTGCATTTACGAGTAACAAAGGCAGCCGTTTTGCTATTACTCCGGATATTGCCGACTTTAAACTCGTGCAGATCTTTTACCAGTTTTGTGATCCAGCGACGAAGGTGCTGACATTGCCACGATTCCAGCAGCTGTTGTTGTATCACCAGATTAAAGATAAAACGTTGAGCAAGTCGGATTCAGCAGCGGATGTGACATCCGACCTTCAGACGCTATTTAGAGCGCTGGATATCAAGAACGTGGGTTCACTGGATCTTGAACGTTTCATGAGCTCGTTCCAGATCTGCAATCGCTGCACGGAAGTAAAACGTCGAGCTCATCAAGCATTATGTGCAAGTCAGGGCCAGACATTTACGTCTACTGCACTTGAGCGACAGTTAATGGAAGACGTTGCTCCTGTTATTGTGCGAGTAGTGCCTACGTGTTATGAAGGTCCTAAAGTCAAGAGTTGTGAGCATTATCAATGGACTTGGTGCGAAGGCTATGACAAAACTGGGAATGACAAATGTCGAGGTACGAATCGTCATGATAAATGTCCCAAGTATCTTGCCAATTGTACTCTATGGAAGCACAAATTGCCACCAAAGAATCGAAAACCAAGAGTTTTATTGGAAAACGTCGACTCGCCGACTAAGAAATTTAAACATTTTTCATAAAGAATATGAGCCTCTTCTTAAGGACTATAACAAGGAATTTCAAACTGGTTTTGACTATATGGATGAGTGTTGCGAGACTGCTATACGAGTGATTATAGTATCAAGATGATAATATGATAGACTGCAACATATCAAAAACCATACAATATATTTACTATAGAGGATTGAAGTGATTTTCGTTGTGGTTTACACACAAGTATCACCACGGTTTTGATCAATCAACAGCGAGAAGTAAGCACATATGAAGCATCATTGGTCAAAAGCCACTGAAGGATGACTATCGTTACAATCCAAATCCAAGACACATTTCCAATGATTGGTTTTCATCAAATTACAAAATATACACGAAATACTACAATCCATTGCTAGGGGGCGTCTTCAAAACGAGCGGCTCTAAATCACCACAGACACAAGAGAGACGACGACGACGGACACTCAGCTTTGTCACAGCTAAACGACACGAGGATTTATTGAAGAATCATGAACGTGATGATTCTAGTAAAGCAATCAAAGCCCTTGCTCAAGTACGTGTATTTCTCTTATCTCTTTCTACATTAAACGAAATTGTCACCTTTATGAACACGTTTGTTTACTCTCTTTTTTGTCCATGTACAGGACTGTTTGTCAACAAGCTCGTGGAATGGCTACAGAAAAGCAGATTCTGCAGCGTATTACAGCCACATCAAATATCGCCAAGATTACGAAATCAATGAAAATGGTGTCAGCTGCTAAGATGCGTGGCGCTGAGAACCGTATGAATGCTGGTCGCCCCTTTACGGCATGGTTGGACAATGTCAAGGGCGCTCATGACCGCACTATTGAAACCGATGGCATTGCACCTGTAGAGGAACTGGAAAAAGACAATGTCTTTATTGTTGTCTCGTCAGACCGTGGTCTGTGCGGTGGTATCAACTCAGGTATTGCCAAAGCTGCCCGTAAGCAGATTGCTGGCGTCGAAGAACATTCACAAATCTTTGTGATTGGTGACAAGGCTCGAGCCCAGCTTCGTCGTGACCTTGGCAACTGCATCCGCGGTAATGTAACCGAGACGTTCCAGTCGCCCCCTAATTTCATGGTTGCTAGCGCCATTGCGGAGGCTGTGGTTGCTTCGTCTGCTTCCGAATCGGAAAAAGTGCATGTGTTGTACAACAAGTTTAAGTCGGCAATCTCGTACATGCCGTCCGTGCGCTCGCTTGCTGTGCAGCCAGACACGGACGCCTTTGATCTGTACGAGCTGGAGCCTGACAACAAGGACGAGCTGCTTGCTGACCTCAAGGAGTTTGAGATTGCAACCGCCATTTTTCAGGGTATGCTTGAGAACTCGACCAGTGAAGAGTCGTCGCGCATGGCTGCGATGGAAAACGCCACCACAAATGCTGAGGACCTCATTGGCTCGCTCACGCTCGTGTACAACAAGGCTCGCCAAGCCCGTATTACCACGGAGCTGATTGAAATTATCTCGGGTGCTGCTTCTCTGGACGGTTAAGTGTGTTCATGAGCCCTGCTGATAGTGCGTGGTCAGGCGCTGACAGTGGCTCGGAACAGAATGAACGGAATAAACTCTCGCGAGATAAACAAACTGCCGCTTGCCTAGTGTATCTACAAGTGAAGTGCGAGCTTAAATTCGAGGAAGCATGAGCAAATACAAGCGTGGCGTCGACGGTAATAAACAGCAAAACCATCTCCTCGATGCAGATTTTTTGTGTTGTAAATTTGAGCTTGACTTGCGTTATGAGGCCTGTTTGAGCCAATATGCACGTTACTTACAACAAAATACATGAGGTGAAAATTGGGTGTTGTTTGCGCCTTGACCAGAATAATGTAGGATCTAGGACAACACAATGGCATCTATCGCTGCTCCCAAATATCATGGACAAGATAGCACGAGGCAGCATGTACGTTGGCCTTCTGGTTTGCACAACGCTTGCTAGGAATTGCTTCTTTTAAATTTTGGAGAAGTGCTCCGTCACCTTGTCCATAACGAGCCACTGAATACCGTACGACGGACACAGACGAGTAAGACGTGGCACAAGACCCTTGTACAACGCGGTAACGCCCTCCTCCTTGGCAATCATGACCATGGCATTCGCCATACCCTTGTACTTGCCAGCACCTGCAGCAGCCTCCTGTGCCATGAGACGCGTCTTGACCACATCCATGGGACAATTGATGCACGGACCGGGAATGGCACCGATCATTCCTGTAAGGCCACTCTTCCATGCCGGTAGCGAGTCGCCGTCTTGGAGTTTCCACACGTACTTCTTGATGAAATTATTAGACCAAAAGCTGCAGGCCTGATTGAGACCCTGGCGACCAATTGTTGGCGCCAAACCCTTCCACAGCGCAAGCGGACCCTCAAGCTTAACAATTCGAGTGGCAGTGTGCACAGGGCCACGGTACTTGGGTATTTCCCCTTTGACAATATTCTGGCCTTGCAGACGCGTCTTGATAACTTCAAACGGAGTGACAATGAGCACGGCCTCTGTGGCACCAGCAAGCGCACCAGCAATGAATTCATTGGCGCCGCTCACCTGGCCGTTTTGGTCCGCTAACAAGCGTCGAAACACAGCATTGAAGTAAAACCGCGTGCCATTCTTGAGCACAACATGCACTGTCCACGGCGTAAAGCCTTTGAACAGCCCCTTGGGTCCTTCAGCTGCAAAAAGCTTCTTACCACAGTCAAGCATGCCACGGTATTGTCCCGTCTTGTCAAGTTGCATGCGTGTCTTTGCCACATCTAGCGGCGTGAGGATCACAGCCTCAATGACACCAGAAAGCGCGCCACCAAAAAACTTGATGCCGGGCGACACTTTCTTCACTTTACCGTCCTTGCCGATAGGAAGCGGGGCACGGAGACCACCCTCGCCCACTTCAACGCTAGCTTTCCACCAATTCTTAGACAGCTCACGGACATCTGGATCCCACAGGAAGTGCTCAAGTGCAGTAGGTGACGCCATTTTGGAACGTAACAGCAAATACAGGTGCTTAAAGTCAGCCTCGTGTACACAGTGTGCGTCACGCGGATGCAGCTGTTGGATCATTCTCGTGGCCTCCTCGAGCGTGACAGTAACGCCTAAAGCCTTCAGTCCATCCTGGAGGTCTTCATCCACAAGATAACCTTTGTTTTCCTTATCAAATGAGCGAAAAGTCTGTAGGATGAACGCCTCATGCAATGCATGAAAGTCCTCATAGCTAAGCTGGCCTTGATTCTTTGGATCTAGACGTTTCATAAGTTGACCAGCATCTTCTGCTGATAATTTCACGCCAGCTACGCATAAACCACGCTGGATATCAAGTACATTCACAATACCGTCCATATCAACGTCAATACGAGCAAAAGCTTCGCGTAAGAGCTGATCTACCGTCACACGTGAATTCCGGCGCATGATCTTAGCACGTTGCTCTGATTGCGTCTGTGGCGCTTCTTCTCTCGCATTCGTGTCGTCTATCATGAATGATAACGAAGTGATTGATAAAGTATCGATTAGATGAGAAATACTACTAGAGACTTGAGCTTATATGAGAGAGAGGGATAGGAAACGTGGAAGGGGCTTTATGAGAGCGAACCAATACAGAAGACGTCCCCATCACATGAATACTAAGCAAGAAGTGGTACATTGTACCAATGTCTTGACATAGCCTCGACGAGTCGGATGGTTTTATGCGCAAAATAGTGGGATTGAGTTTATACAGAAAAAGGCTAAGAAGGAGTATCTGAAAGCAAGGAATGTTTGTCATGCTGTAGAGATGATATGCATGAGTATGTGAGATGTAAAGAGATTACTTGTATAGGAGCCGTAGTAAAGATATATATACATATATGTGGCAATATTACTATAAACGATTTCATGTTTTCAAATTAATGTCGACATGCTGAAGTAGGTTGCATATTACTGATAAAAAGTTATTCCTCCATGTAGTAATGATTCGAATTCTACATACCTATGAAAGCTCTTTCTTGGGACAGAATACCTCTGCACAAGTATATTTTGGCTGCTCCTAATTGGCGGAATAAACCTTGCCACGCGCTGCGTCACCATGGCGGCATTGCAGTGTGCGTCACATCCTGAATTATCCAATGACGATTGGAGAGGTCTTACACGTGTCATCGACCATTGACGTATAAGATTTTTAGGCTTATTCTGAAATAATCAAGGCATTATCTTTGTCCGAAGACTGTGGTTCAACATGGCTACATTTGACTGACAACTAACCGACTACGATTCAAAGGTGAATTGTACGTTGTTAATTGGTTCTACATCCATGGACGCATTACACCTGCGGATCCTCTTGACGCCATGGTAGGTCTCGAAGCTCGTGCTATAGCAGTTGGTACTTTCTTGTGCATAAAGGAGGAATGACTACCGCATCCTGGTGGGCACTCTTTAAGCATCGATTGAATAGAAGACTGCTGGCCCGATTTATTCCTCTGAGCAGTCGTACTCGTCGGCGCAGGTACTCGCTCGTACCGCTGCGCTAGGGTCGGCCGCTCAAGCTGAATGCGTTCAACTAGCTGTTCTTGGTGTTTCTGATTCTTCGATTGCATCCTTCGCTTTCTTCGACTCCGGTCGGACGCAAGCTTCTGAGCTACCGCTCCGTTTGTGGACGACGCATGCTCGTATACTTTGTTGCGGCCAACCTGGACGAACGTTGTAAGGTAGTCGAACTCGTCTTCATCCTTGCAATCGTCATTATCTTTGTGGTTGTCCGAGTGTTCTTCGTTCACACGATCCTTCTCTGCTCCACCACTTTCATTGTATGAAGCTGGTGTGGTCGTGTCTGCGCCCGGTATCATTTTCAGCGTAACACTGCGTCGATCTTCATCTTGTTGATCCTTCTGTGTCTGCTCTTGGTTATGATCAGCTCCTCTAGCCTTGCAACTGCTATTCTTGCGAATAATGAGATTGCCTCGCAGACGGTGCTCATTGATAAAGCTCTGTAGGTCAGCCTCACGAACGCATTGTCGGGCACACATTTCCTTTAGCTCCATGTACTTGATATGCGTCTGCCGCAGCTTGTCCTCGCGCTGACGCAACCTTTTTTCAGAAAGAGAAACACCTCGGTTTGCTCATCACTACCAGTCATGGTCTGCTGCTGAGGTTCAGAAGTGGCACCCAGACTTGCAGTGTGCGGTTTTGGCAATCCTTTTTGGAAACTGAGGAAAATCTAACCACACGTTCTCCAAAACAACAGGCAGATCCGTTTTTTGGTCGTGATTTTGCAGTTTTTCTTTGCTGTTTCTCTTCCAGCGCTCCACGTTGGCCAGAAAATCGTAGACACAGCGGTTCATGTCATTAAGCTTAGCCCTCAGCCTCGCAACCTCCATTGTGTCATTATGCGAATTACTGGGCAACTTGCCTCCCGTCCTTTTCAGCTGCCTCAACGCCGTTTTAAGCTGAATCTTGTCTTGATTCAGGCGAGCAATATCAGCTTTTTGTACGCGAATTTGCTCCTCCAATTCGTTTACGCGATCATCTTGCATCATCTCTAATGGTCGTATTTGCGTATCGTGTTCACGCGCTACTCGCCGACCTTTGCTGCTTGTCTCGCTGCTTTTCGCAGCATGCTGTGACTCCACCACCTCAACTTTATCACGGAGCTGCTGGCTTATACCCTGCTCGTCTTCGTCTAGCAAATGGGTCGTCTTTTCCAGCACTTGCTGTTTCTCCTTTTGCATTTCGGCTTTCCGACCATCGACCATGTCATCCTCTTTCTTTGTACTGGTTTTTCTCTTCGGGCTTGGGCTTAATTCGTCCGAGACCAAATGAATCACTTCCATTTTCGGAGACCACTTTTTATGACGAATAGTAACGTTACTTGAGTGATCCAGTTGCGATACTTGCCTTAAAGTTGCTGGCCGTTGCCTAGATGCATGAGAGGAGTCTCCACTAGATGATACCTCCTTGTTACGAATCGCTATCGTATGCTCTGCTGAACGGTTTTTATCGATAGTTTGGCCCGACGTGCCATCACCTTCACCTTTTTTCAGGTGATCCAGCCTCAAACAGCAGGTTGCAGTCTTTTCCACGCCCTCTACTTTTGCTACAGCTTGTCCTTGAATCCTGACTTGCTCATCAGCACTTTGTGCTGCCTGTCGTGCTCGTTGTTCTCGATGTGCAAGTCGATTGCTATTCTGCTTTTCATTCTCCTTGCAATTCTTGACCGCATCTGATTCGTTATCGTCATTTGATGAAACATCGGCATCTTCCGACGACGAAAACGACCACTTCGCTGAAGAGGACGGGGAGGAGCCAGGCTGGTCATCATTATTTTGTCGACAATCAACCTGATGACGTCTCTGCTGTCTCGACGTCTTAGCATTCAAATCGATGTCCTGATTTTCCGCAACACTCTTGACACAACTTATCTGTCTCCTGTCGTTTTTTATCTGTTTATAGTCTTCACACTCGTCATCTTCTTCTTTTGAATCCTCTTCCCCACGAGATCCCAGTCTCACTTTAGATGTTCTACTACTTCTTCTTCTTCTTTCCATCTGCTTCTGTTTTAATTGAGACCTTTCTAAGCCTTGCACACAGTCTTCTCTCGATTGAATCTCGCCCGAAGACAAGAAAACAAACTCCATGGGTCTCTTCTTCTCGTAATTACAATCTTCCTCCAGCTCATCATCAGTCAAATACTGCACGTCTAAGTGATCAAATGCTGTATCAGTATCCTGTAATACGTGCTTCTGCATCAAATAAGGATGTTGTGGGTGCAATCGCTTGTCCTTTTCAGCTTCAGTCTCTTCATCTATACGTCGACTACGCTGTATTGTATGATTAAACTGCGAAGAAGAATGACAACGAGAGGTAGAGAGTATTACATCCTCTGAGCTTTCAAATACACGTACACTCTCTGCAAGACTCAACATTTATTGACGACAAATGGAGTTAATCGACTGCGGACGTCTAGCAGCACCAAATCTTTGCTTTACGTCGGAGGAAGTGACGATACCGGTTTTACTCAATCTGCAGAGGTAAGTATTCTAAATGAGAGACATTAAGAAATCGACATGGATATGATTGGTTGAAATAAAATACAAAGACGTCTAAGGTTTTTTTCTTTCTTCTAATGTCATTTTTACAAAAAGAAGTGCAATATTTTGAATGAAATGTGACAACACTGTTTGTTTTTTCTCTCTGTTACAAATCAATTAATTGATTTTAACGTATCTTTTGATGTCAATTAATTTTCATGCATTTCCTATCATTTTATTTATCAATCCATGGTATTACGGCAAAATCTACCGCCATCTTGACATTTACTAGTGTACCCATCTCTCTGTTTCCATGACATACCATCATTCCCAACGTCTTTATCTCGTGCCAATACTGATACAGTATCTGATACCAACTACGAGCATCTCTTCCGGTCATTAGCGCACCAGTCACGTCTTTTTCCATTGCGCAGCTCGGACGTGAAGCTTCTGTCTACTCCTACCGAGTTTTACCAGCAATTACTGCATAATATTCAACATGCAGAGCATCACGTGTCGATTGCATCGTTATATTTAGGTACAGGCGACTTGGAGCGCTCTCTAGTAGACGCATTAGCCACGAGACTACGAGAACGACCAGAGCTTCAAGTGCAGATCGTTTTGGACTATTCCCGAGGTCAACGCGTTGGCGTCATGGCGAGTTCTATCACGATATTGGCTTCATTGCTACGAGAGTTTCCAGCCAATGTCACACTCTTTTTATTTCGAGTCCCACAGCTTTCAGGGTTCAAGACAAAACTACCTTCTCCATTCAATGAAACACTGGGTGTTTTCCATGCAAAAGTATACTTAGTAGACGACATGCTCGTACTCAGTGGTGCAAACTTGAGTGCAGACTATTTTACAAGCCGACAGGATCGCTACGTACAATTGACAAACTGTGGTGGACTTGCACAATTTTACCACCAGTTTGTAGAGTTGGTGACAGGATTTTCCTACAAGGTGACACTGGAATCGTTCACAGGACGAGACAATGACTATACGTTGGTACCACCAAAGCTCGCACATGACTCGAAAGAAGCAATGAGGGTGATGAAACTCGAACTTGAGAACCTCGTGAATCGAGAGAAGCACAAGCAAGAAGACAAGATTGATGTATCTTCGAACACGTGGGCGTTCCCGACACTACAGTTTACACCTGTCGCGATGGATCATGATGAGCGGGTCTTAAGAATGTTTATCAAGAACTTGCCGCGTGGTTCACAGCTACAGATTGCCTCAGGTTATTTGAATTTTCCGCCGTTTTTAAGAGAGTTGCTGGAGCGCTGTGGTGCTCAACTGGACGTCATTTCTGCGGCTCCTTGCGCCAACGGATTTTACAATGCTCGCGGTGTAAAGGGTGCTTTGCCGATGGCTTATTCACTGATCGAGCAAGACTTTTTCAAACACACTCTTGGTCGCGAATTTCCAACAGTGCTGCGAGAGTTTAACCGTCCAGGATGGACTTTTCACGGCAAGGGCATGTGGTGGAAACCACCAGTGACCAATGGCCGCAAGGTCACCACAGGCTTTCCTCAGGCCACAATTGTGGGAAGCTCAAACTTTGGCCAACGATCCTATGGCTGTGATATGGAATCAAACCTGGTGTTGTTTACACGTAATCTAGAGCTTCAGCGCCGCCTGCAAGATGAGTACGATGCCCTTACTTGTGACACGGAGGTAGTGACCAAGCAACTTTGGCGACGATCCGAGCGCATGCTACACGGCTTGTTTAGCTGGAAGGACGGTCACTGGATCCGACCCGTATCCAAGCTTATCGCTGCGTACCTCTAGGTATCAAATAGACTGTAGAGCGCATTAAGTCAATAGAATAGGACTCAAACTGCATTTGCTTTCCATTTACAATGTACTAACACATACTGCAATGGTATGCTTGTCTAGAGAAGATGCCCAACGGTAGACTGCAAAAAAACTCCTGACAACAAAGGAAGGGTCAAGTTATCGTCCCATCCACCGATGTCCACCAGCTCTGCGACTGCTGCACCAACTCCTGCAGCCAGTGAGATTGTCCAAGCTATTTCAACAACTTCCGCCTCGCCTGTCATGCCAAAAAAGAACTTTTGCTCTGCAATTAATGCTGAAAACGTAGCTGCAGCAGCGACACAGAAGCATCCAATGGATCCTTCCAGAGACTTGTTGCCACCTAGCTTTCCAAATAACGTCACGAGTTTGTGCCGACCATACAACGTCCCAAAAAATGCTGCCGCTGGATCTCCCACCGACAACTAAGACAGCAACAAACAAAACAACAAAGCAGACTCATTCATTACGTCGTTTACAAACCCATAAACCTTTGATCAACGCACATGAAGAATAGCCAGTCGTGCTACTTTTAGTGGGAATATTGCAAGTGAAAAGCTCGAGCCAAGTAAAAAATAGTAGGCACCTGGTAGTGCCAATCTTGAGACCTCATGCTGCCGTAGGATACTGCTAAAACATTTGATGTAAGCAGCATTTACTGCGTTGCTACAGCTTCTTAGCTTGCGTAATCCACAGAAAAGCAGTGCAAAGACGAGCAACATTGAAATACCAGTTAATCGATCACAGTAGCCAAAGCCGGCATAGATCATGACCCCTGTCCCGAGATGCTGGAATTTGCGTTGCAAATGCAAGTCCTCACGACGTGCTACAGTATTCTGTACTACATCCGATTGCTGAGCTGAGACGAGATACTGGAAGAATAAAACCACAACCACAAATCCAGCATATGCAAAGAATGACACGTTTTCGTCTAGAGACATTTTCGCGTCGCGTCGTGTTGAATGGATTTCAAAGAGAGTTTCGAATACGACGACTGAAAACAAACTGTCGTGAATTCCAGCAGAGAGCAGAGCGTGTGGGATATAAAGTATGGAAAGATAAAGTCAAGTGGTACAAGCATCAAGCTCATGGACGGATAGACGAACGAACGAAACGGACGGATGGATGGATGGACGAAAGACGACTGACTATCCAGTCTATAGAAACAATTGATCGACCTTTTGGGTCGGATATGTCTGCACCTTGTCTTGTCACACTTGGTAGGAAGGATTTTTTGTTCTGTTCGTGTGCAGTTGTAGCTTAGAAGCTTCAATGTATACACAAGGTCATTGCAAAAGACTAGAGAATGGAATGGACTATGCACGGAAAACAGCTCAGACGGTTCAGCTTGATCGTGTGTGTGTGTGTTTTTTCTGAGTTTACAGGTTGTAGTCTCCACTATCCATCAGCTTTTTCCAGACGTTTTTGTCAAGTCGTGCATAAGAAACGTTTTGAGATACTTTAAGAGAGCTGTAGCTGTAGCACCAGTCGCATAGAACACGAGCTTTAGTTTGCGTGGCAACAGAAGGTTGATCACTTTTGAAATTGACATGGGCAGCAGTGATACGATGAATGTGTTTGCGAGCCGTAAACTTGAGCTGGAGAGATTAGCTGCAGACGACTTTGAGATCATCCGCGTACTCAGTGTTGGTACGTACGGTATAGTGAAGCTAGCCAAGCACAAACCGACTGGCATTAGTGTTGCACTCAAAGTGCTGTCCAAAGAGCGTGTCATTGTAACACGTCAGGAAAAACAAATTTTTTGCGGGAGCTTGCAGTGCATTCACGGCTACAACATGCTCTCGTGACGAAACTCTATGACATGTTCCAAGACGACAACTCTTTGTATTTCGTACTAGAGTATTTATTTACCTGGTGGAGAACTTTGGAATCTGGTCTATTCTCACACTGAAGGTCCGAGAGAAGAGGTTGATACTATCAAGACTGCCACACAATTAAGGGCTCAACACTATCTGAAGGATGACAGCAATGAACTCCGTCCAGCTACTCCAATTGATAAATTAAAGCCAACGGCGTTCCAGCCTCTTCTACATATTCAATCGCGAACAATAAAGGCGGAAGAGATGTGTGTTTTGCGCAGTCAATTTGGGGGATTGAAGGAAAAGTGTGCAGTATATATATTTGAGCTGCATCTTGAGTGCTATGGAGTATTTGCATGATCAAGGGCTGTTGTACCGTGACCTGAAACTTGAGAACCTAGTGCTGAACTCAAAAGGCTATGTTAAGATTGTGAACTTTGGTTTTGCCAAGATGGACGCGCAGCGGACAAAGGGTGCTGATGATAGTTTGGAACAGACACGAAATGCTCGCAACCTGACGTTGTGCGGAAGCATGGACTATATGGCACCAGAGGTACTTCTTCGTCAGCCACATGATCAGCGCGTGGATATTTGGTCCTTTGGTATCAATCATCATGTATGAGCTAATAGTTGGTAAAACGCCCTTCTACCATGATGATCCGCGTGAGCTTGGGCGCAAAACTATACACGAGGACGTACCATTTCCAACTGAATTCGAAGAAGAGTGTCCGCTGGCCTTTGTTTCATCAAACAGCTTCTCGTGAAGAAGCCTGACGAACGACTTTCATCAATGCAAAAGATTAAGACGCACAAGTTCTTCTCGCGAGTTTTTTCGAGTCCTAGGGACTGGACAAACTGCTTCATGGAGAATGTATCGCACCATTTGTCCCAGATCTAAATGGACCTTTCGACACGTTTTTCTTCCAAACCATCGACGAGGAGGAGCTAACGGCTAATGTGGAGACGTACTTTTGAAGATGACTCCAACATTTTCAGCAGCTTTTAGTTAGACAGACAGCCACACCAATGCCGTCGTATGTCTGTCGCACGATGCACCATGTACAATACCAGTTTGACGCTCATGGAAGGAATTCCTGATTGCCAAACAAACCAGAATGCTTTGATACGTTACGCTACTTTGCTTGGTGAATTGCGTTAACCAAGCAAAGTAGCGTAAGTATCCTAGTGACAATCTATCGCTGAAAGTGCAACGCATTTGCACTTTCAGCGATAGATTGCCACTAGGTTAGAAATGCCAACAATGTTACAGCAAATACTCGCATTTACGTCTTTGAGCTGGTGTACACGCTCAAGTAATGTTGACATCTAGCTCACATCAAAAATTTAACTGTTTACTGGGTCGCAATAAATATACCTGACTCACTACACTACTACTACTCGCGTCTGCGCAAGTCCGAAAATGGCTGCATGATTGCAATATGGGTTTCAGCACCCAAAGTCTGAGTCGGCATCATTACCATAACCATACATGTCGTCGTTCTGAACACGCACAAACAGGCTCGTGTCGAATATACCGTCCAGTCTGGGAACGAACGGGGCTTGTACCTGCCGGGACTCTAGTTGTCGCCAGCTGTGTGTCGATGGGAAGTAGCTGCGGAAAAAGATGGTATTTCGTACCTCTTTAAACGACGCAATTCGCAATGCGGGGTCTTTTTCCAGCAGCTTCTGGATCAAAAAGCACACACTGGAATGGCCTTGCTCAAAGCCGACCGGGAACTTAACTGGCTCCGAAATAATGCGGCGGCTTTGTTCTCGGTAATTGGCATGGTAGAATGGAGTTGTTCCGAATAGCATCTCGAACAAAAGAATACCAAAAGACCATAAATCCACCCGCTGGTCGTACGGCTTATGCTGCAATACCTCAGGTGCCACGTACTCTGCACTTCCACACATGGTCGAGTTTCGCTCAGACGTTCTCGTTGCGTTTGGCTTGGCCAGTCCAAAGTCGATAAGCTTTGGATATCCATCTGCATCCAGTACGAGATTTTCTAGCTTCAGATCTCGATACAACACACCTTTTCCGTGCAAATACTCAAGTGCTGACAACAAACACGCCGCATAAAATGCCACATCGCGTTCGTGGAGTCCTCCATAAGAGCTTCGTAGCTTTTGCTTGGACAGAAAATTCTCCAGCGTTAAGCTGTTACGACCCATAGCAACACTAGATCGACGTTGTTGTCCGTTCTGCTCCTCTTCGGATTCGGACTCCGTCTCGACAGAATCTAAAATGTCCTGCTGATCTTCTTGTACCTGTCTGCCATTCAAGTTCCTGTTCTCTTGTTCGTCTATTGAACTAGAATCGTCCTTCTCTTCAAAATGTCCGTCATCATGCGTATACACAAGACTGTAGATTTCTCCACCAGGACAAAATTCCAGCACAAAGTACAATGCTTTCGTATCTTGAAAAGTAGCATAGAGTTTCGCAATAAATGGATGAACCAGTCCCAAGTGTGCACCTTGTTCCCTCACAACGTTCTTCTCTTGCTTCATTTCCATTATCAAATATCGTGGAAGGATCTTGACCGCAACTGTCACTCCCGTATCCAAATGTCTCGCAAGTTGCACCGTTCCAAACGTACCTCGGCCCAAAACATCAAGCAATTCTAACTCGTTAATGTTTGTTATTTTCTCTAGCTGTAAGACAAAACTGGTTCGGGTTATAGATGATCTTCCATGGATATTGACGCTTATAGCTGACAAGTAACTAGTAGCACTACTAAAGCGTTTAGCAGCACTCTGCGCAGACATTTTGCGCCACGAAGCAACCGAAACGCGCTGTAGCGAATGTTTTGTTGAGTTCTTCGACACAAGTGCATGCATTGCACGTATTTTACGCCATATTGGGGCCATTGATGGTGTCTTTAGGACTGGAAAGACTTGCATACTAGGATGCAATATATATAGTCGCAAGGAAAGTGGCGACTAGTGTGGATGGACATAGACTTGGTAATTTATTAGTAGTAAGTAATTTATTCGTACCACGATGACAGACGGGTAAGAAAGACCTGGCAATGTTCTGCGCACGTTCTGGACCTTCTTTGCTTTTTTAGACGTAATTTTGTGCAAAATGGCTTGTCTCTGCATTTCTCCTCACCTTTACCAAATCTATTGGATGTAGCCATCTTGTGGGCTAGATACGTTTCAATTTATCAATCAATTGCCAACTGACGTGAAAAGTCAGAGAGGTGTTGTTGATTGCAATTTAAGCTGTTGTATGAACTCTGGGTAATGCAGTACTTGTCTTACTTGGTACTGTCTTTGCTAAGAACCTGTCTGAAATGATAAAAGGCTGCAGTACCACCTCAATATTTTTGAGCGGATAAACTTCCATAACCTGATATCTGACAAATTCTGCCCAAACATCAGTTTAAAAAGGTGTAGGAACATCTAGCAAGCTCTTCATCGCGGCTCTAGATACCTTGCTGCACCATTTGGCTAGTTCTGGGTTCAAGATACAAATGGTCTAGAATCTCTCATTGTAAAATCTTTCGATTATCACCGCTCATGTTGATGCAAACCTCCTTGTCATGAAAAATTACTTTACCAAAGCCTTCTCTAATTCAGGATACTTCACCACACGTTGCCGTCTTTTTGGCTGAAATGATGTTTGCTATCACTTAAGAAGCTCAGTGGAGTGCTTAAGAGTGCCAGAGATGGTTGACTGGGTAGCTTTCGTGCTGTGATACTTCTCAAGCCATATACCGAGCTCCTTGTGTGTGGCTATAGGGTTGTCTTTTGATTGTACTGGCACAGAGCAATGCGGACCTTAGTTGTCATTGTCTAATGAACATTACGCCAAAGTATCGTATGAATATGACTGTCGTTTTGTTTGTATGTTGTGATCTGGGTGTTGGTGGGTGTGATTGTGAGTTGAATGTCTTGTTGACCTAGAGTCGGTGGTCCAAACTATCCACAAAAACTGCTACTTGTCTTAGCACATAAGCTGTCTGAATCGATGGGAAAAAAAAAAAAAAAAAAAAAAAAAAAAAAAAAAAAAAAAAAAAAAAAAAAAAAAAAAAAAAAAAAAAAAAAATTTTTTTTTTTTTATTAAAAAAAAAATTAAAAAAAAATAAAAAATTTAAATTAAAAAAATTATTTTTTTTTTTTTTTTTTTATATATTTTAAATTTTTTTTAAAAAAAAAATTATTTTTTTTATAAAAAAATAAAAAAAAAAAAATTAAAAAAAAAAAAAAAAAAAAAAAAAAAAAAAAAAAAAAAAAAAAAAAAAAAAAAAAAAAAAAAAAAAAAAAAATGAGTGGGATTGTTTTTTTTTTTTTTGTTTTTTAAAAAAAAAAAAAAAAAAAAAAAAAAAAGTGTTTTTTTTGTTTTTTTTTTTTTATTTTAAAAAAAATTTTTTTTTTTTGGGGGAAATTTTTGTTTCCACCTCTAAAAAAATAAATCACCTTAAAGCACTTCAGGCGCGATCTAAGCTGTACTGCCCATACACCGATATTGTTGATCCATTTGAGGCCTCACGTGAGATACCAAAATCGCTGAGTTTCGCTTCCCAATCATACCTTAACATGACATTTCGTGTCTTAATATCACGATGGATGATCGTCGGGTTGAACGAATGCAAGTAACAAGTCCTTCGACGATATCTAGTGCAAAACAAATTTCACTTCGCGGCTCCGAGCTGTCGCCGAGCCACGATTTTTTTGACGACCATCTTTTTCTTCATGATGGGCGTGGTTAAGTCTCCGCAGGTGATCCAAACGTGCGTACAAACGGATTTCATTCATAAAACGACGCAGTATATTTTTAAACATGGCTTTGGGCAGAGTTTGCTTGACAACCGTGCATTTGGGGCCGGCGCACGACACCAAAGCCACCGCTCGCGAGTTCATTCTGAATTACAATGTCTTCACTTGGCATCCGAAACGGAACCAAGTCCTCGTCGTATCGAACGTCGTTGCTGAGGCAACTGCTGCTCAATGATGGCGGAAGAGATAGTGTCCGTGAATCGGAGCCTGTGCCACCAGTAGCATCATTCGAAGGCTTTTGCTCGTGGACAATGACGTAAATCCATACCCTTATATATAATTGCGTTGGCGGTTCTGTATGAGCCGATGATACGCGATGAAGCCCACGATGAGAAGTGTAATAACGATAGCTGCTGCAATACTACCGATTAACCCCGCGTTGGAGCCTGTCTCTTCCTCACTGACCTAGCGGCAGTTGTCCCCGATCATCCTAATGCTTGGTTTGTACCTTCATTTCCAGTAGCATTTCCGCTAATAGCTGAGCTTTCATTGGGGCTACTTCCAGCAAAAACATTCAAATCGTCAAGGTACAGGCTTAAAAATGCCGCATCAATTACACAGAATAAAAATTAGGTTGACGACATACGAGAAGGACAGCCGAGTAAGCCAAACAAACCATTAAGTACACCGACTACCATATCATCCAAGATGGCCGTGATTGAGACGGAGCAGCTATCGGCATTCATACTGACAGTAAGACTGAGATGCACGCTTTGCATACCGTTCGTAAAAAGTTTGTAATCGCTGTTTTGCCAAGTATTTAGTGCTACAAAATGAAGATGTAGAAGTCAACAATGTAAAGCCCTGACACTGCATATCGAGAAAAACGCAACTTCATGCAATGTCTTGAGGCTCGTCAGGAAAGTTACACCAACGGTTTCTTTATCACGACAATCGCTGCACTCCCTATTGCGTAGCATATCGGTAAATAGAACACCCAGAACACCATCACCAAAGCAGACGTCAGTGAAGATATTGCCTCGTACAATCTGTCGGTGTAAATCGCAGCACAATGAGCCCACAGATACTGAAGGCTATCGGGGAAGACCGTGCCTTCTAGTGACGTGAGCTGCTGGTTCCAGTTCAAATACAACTACTGTAAAGAAGATGAGAAGTGAAACTATGCCAGCAAGTTGATTGAGTTCTTTCGCAGTATAACCTCTGCAAATTTTCTGGAAAATCCGACGCTATCGTATATGTAAGTGCATTTAGATCCAGCGTTCTACAATAAATGTCTTAGGCATTTGAATACACAATTAGGACAATTTGAAGGCATAAAGATCACATACAATAGGAGCCTACTCGATGGAAATTCCAAACTTTCCAATGACGTCGCCTGGTTACTTGTCATATTTCAATCGATCGTCAACGAGTCAACCAGTCGGAATGTATCCACTATCAAGACATTAATTACACTTTTAAGACCGATGTTCCTACCGCCTTGAAAGTCTTGATCCGTTTCAATGTACAACTTTGCAACTGCTGGATTTCTTTCAGGAATTTGAATATTGACATAGCTAATACTAATCCTATGCTTGCCCGGGTTCTTTGATTCAATCGCTTGAATCTTCACTTCATTATTATGATTGACGTCGTCACAAGGATGGCTACGTTTCTTACCGTTTGTAGCTGCAGCTACTGTAACATCAAGAGACAATGCCTGGTTCAAGACAGGTTGTTGCCATTTGAAGACGTCAATAGTGTGTCGACAAAGTACAAATAGCGTTTACCAATTATAGCTCTATGATGTAAGTATGATAATAAATGGATTGAAGAACGTTAGAGACTGCAACTTGAAATGTTGTAAGAGTACATATACTTATATTAACAAATGATTGACATGTGTGCAGTCACAATGGGTGCATAAAGTGAAGATCTTCCATTTTTCAAATGAATCAGATATAGTCGAGTCAGTATAGGAAAAGCTTGTGTTATGATCATTAGATTACTATGACAAGTAGTTCGTACCATATTGTTAGATCAAAAGTAAACGTTACTTTAGGCCATAGGAAATGGTATTGATAGTATCGTAAAATTTGTATGTTACATGTTCTTTGACATCGTCCTAGGATCGTTTCTTTTCTTATTTAGGACACGTTTTTACTTCATAAACCTCGGTTGTGTTTCGATCATTCTTATCCTACTTTGGATTTTATTCTAATGAGGTGATAAAAATATATGACAAAAAGTGTATATAAATGAATACGTCCTGCATCACAAACTGCTGTGATTTCAATGGGCTTGTCTAAAAACGCCTTCAAAATGTACGATAATGTTTGAAGAAAGTTGGTTATTTTTTCCATTGGTTCTATGCGTTTTCTACTCGATTCTCTCTCTCTTTCTCTAGTCATCATACCACAAAATATCCATTCATCACACATACACCACTTACTACACATGATCTCGCCGTTCACTTGAGAGAAGAGCAATATCGTCGTCTTCAATTAGCACGAGTTTCAGCTCGGAAGGACTGGAATGTTCTTGCATGCAAGACAGTTGGCATGGAGATTTACTGTTGTTTTGAGGCGCTGGCATCGTGTTAGTCGTCATGTCGTCGTCCTGTGGCACCTCAAGATTGCGTAACTCAAAGTGAAGTTGCAAGGCGGATGGTCGATTCAATGGATTTCCATCCAGACACTTGTCGACAAGTTTTCGAACACTGTTAGGACATTCCGGGCTTAAAGATGGACGTATGGAGCCAGCACTCACTAAGACAGCAATACGAGCGTTCGTATGTTTAGTGGTGGTACCACGATTATCCCCATTTGGGACACCCTCCGAGTACGGTCGTCGGCACGTATCCAACTCGGTCATTATCACACCGAACGAGTATACATCTGCTTTTTCTGAATACCGTTCACCTCGCAGCACTTCAGGGGCAATCCATGAAACTGTGCCAATCTCGGCAGTCATGGTCTGATCTTCTCTGAGCTCGCGACTTACACCAAAGTCCGTCAACTTGGCTTCCCACGTTTCACTAAGCAATATGTTATTGGGCTTTAGATCTCGATGGATCATTGGGCTCTCGAATGAGTGCAGGTACACCAGAGCCTCGGCAATATCAAGAGCAACGAGAGACTTGCATTTGCGGCCTTCTCGACTCGACTGTGGTGAGTAGAACCAGCCGTAGGATTCACGAATTGTCGGGTCACGAGTCTCACGTTTCAACTGTTTCTGCAAATGCGTAGCAAGATCACCATTAGGCATATGCTCGAACACTGCAGATAAGTCCATAAGGGAAGTGAAGGTAAAGCCGATGAACGTCACAATCTTCGGATGGTCTAGCGAACTACACATCCGGATTTCGTCCATAAAGTCGTTTAGCATTTGCGGATCACAAGCACGCTCCGGTAGCAATTGCTTCAGCACTACGATTTTACCACGAAATTTGGCCTTATAGACGGCGCCGTATCCTCCCTTCGCTATCAAACCACCGCGCACTACTTCCTCGTGCATCAATCTCAAATGCCGCATATTTTGATCCGTGCGAATGTCGTTGTCGAAGTGCCGAGCAGATATTGACGCCGCTGACGGGATGGAAGAGTTCATAGTGTTACTCATTCCTCGATGCTTGCTGCCGATAGTCGTCTCATCGAGATTGGAGTGCTCGTCTTGTTTTGTAATCCCAGTGGTTAGAGTTCGCTCGAAGTAAGTTCGATGAGTGGGGTTGGTACCGGTCTCGGCGTCTGACCAAGAGCTAGAGCTCCTGTCTGCAGCGTAACCCCAGATTTTCTCGCCTGAATGGCGATAATGGAACAGGAGATAGACTACAAGGCCGCCAATGAGTACCAGCAGCAACGTTGAACCTGAAATAATGGCCACGAGCATCCAGCTAGAAGAAGCGTTTGCCTCTGAAGAACTCATTGGATGATCACCATTTGGCGGCAGTCTCGAAATGCCACGCGAGCCGCTTGCGGCTGCAGGTGTCGCGAACTTGATGTCGTATACTGCATCCGGGAGGACGCAGATAGGCACAGCCTGTACTTCCTGTTTTGTTGCAATTGACTCGCTGCAACGGGTATCTGAAACTGTTACCTTGAACATTGATAATCCTACGACCAGTGGCATCATCGACTTAGATATCTCAAAAGAGTCGATTGTGCTGCCTTCTAAGTCGAGCGAAGATAGCGAGCTCGAGGGTGGCAATTTCACGCCAGAGAGTTTCTTGACGTCGCACATTTTGCACGAATAGGTTTGAAGTTGTGACGGCATTTGCCACATGGAGAGATCGTGGATTATGTTTTCACTTGTATCAAGCCCCTCTAGTGTTTCGCTGAAATTGAAGGCATTTAGCATCACGATACCGTTGCTTTTTAAAGAGAGCGTGGTGACAGTATCAGGAATCTCTCCACCGTCAAGGCCGATAATGGAGTTATTATCGAGAACTCTATAATATAGCATTGCACATTCATCGAGAGAGAAAGTTCAGCGTTTGTATGGCCATTATAAGTAGACCACATCATACGTACAGCCTAGTCACTGAGTTTGGAATTGTTAGAGCATCCAAGGTACTCAGACCGTTTGAGGACAAGTCTCTGTTGGTAAAACACAACAAAAGTTAGCATGTAAGCAAACAATTGAAGCATGTGCTACCTTCACACGGACAGCAAAGCATTTGAGCTAATAGTACTACGTACAGAGTCTTCACGGTAGCATCTGGATCTTCATAAATTGTTGTGACTTGATTGCCTGAAAGCATTACGGCTGTCACGTGTGGAAAGCTCGAGACAGCTTGGATATTTAAATTACTGGCGTCAATTGTCGTAGTCCCGCTGCTTGATGTCGCACTAATTTTGACAACAGTGCAGTTATGATACACAACCTCCGCATCTGATACAGCATTTTTGCTCCGACGCAATGTGACAAGTGTCGGAGCTGGTTCCTCGCATTCGTTTGTTTGGGAGACTTGAGCAGCAGTCGGGAGACTAACTAGAAAAATTGCTGAAAGCACGACACTCACCACAAGTCTTCGTGGGCAGTGGCGTGATCGTCTCATGAATACGTCTTTGCTCCACTGGCCGATGTCAAGACTTGTCTAGAGACGACGATTGACGAACACCGTTACAAACTGACTGCGCTACTGC